TCTTTTGACAGAAAAGTGTCTTGTAGAAAGAATGCGTTTGTCTAATTTTCAAAAAGGTGCCCTAGTAGTGGCCGTGATAAGTCGTTCACTCTAAGAGACATTATATAAATCAGGTAGCTTCCAAATTATATTAAGTATTTTGGGTGTCTTCAAATGATGATCAAGTTTCAACAGTAAGTCTTGTCCTGTTAGTTTCAATATTAACTCTTAGTCTCAATATTAAGTCTGCTTAATTTTAATATTGTCAATATAAAGCCCTCTTAGTTTCAATATTAAATCTTGTCCTTCTCACTTTGTGAGACAAATTTTCTCTACTGTAAAGTTAGAGGTTTAACCAAATGACTGGTGTGGTTCTTTCTCTATACAACCACTTTAAGATCTTCATTATGGATCAGATACATCTATGGCTTGTTTGAACAGCATGGGTCTTTGAGGAAACTTCCAAAGGTATTCTAAACATTGAAAAAAAATCTCAAGTCAAAATCTCATTAACCTTAACATAAACATCATGCAAAAATGTCATTGTAAAAAAAGGGAAGAACACCAACACTTTTGAACATGTATCAGGTGGCAGGCATTTCTCTTACATGATCTCATTAATGTCTATAACCATCTTGTGAGGTGCTATTGTTCAAATTTTTTGGAGAAGGAAAGACTGATATATCACAGGACCAGTCACATTGTATATAGTGTGATCTAGTGCTTAACAAGTCTAGAACAAGGAAAACTGGACAATACAAATGCTTTATTGGTATTATCTGTAAGAAACCGAAAGAGGCAGAAAGATCTGGAAGGTGCAAGCACTAAGTCTATGAGGATGGTTAGAACCAGAGTCCACAACTTGCCTTGAGGTCCAACTTGCCCATCATATGTTTTTGCAAATAATTTTCATTAGAGCACAATCATGTTCACCCATTAGTGCATTGCCTATGACTATTTCCACACAATGGCAGAAAGGAGCAATTCTGACACATTTGGTCTACAAAACTTAAAATGTTAATTGTATGATTTATTTACAAAAAAAAAAAGATTGATCCCTGATGGAACCATATGATTATTATAACTCACTCACTCATCCCTATACCTCACCACTGCCTTTAATTTTGTGAGACAAATTTACTATTGAAATTCATTTTGAAATAATTTACTACTTAATATATTATTACTTTACTACTGAAATTTCTTCCAGAAAATTTTTGAGAGCCAGTTCAGTGTTCAATTGTATCTAGCTTTATTCAAGCTTACTGACATTTCCTCTACTGACTACTACAACCAACACTGACATTAGATGATCTTGTCAGTCATACCCTCTTTATCACTGATGGTTATCAAAAAGCCCAAAGCAGTTAGTCATATTAAGAACTCACAGATTCCCCCACTCCATCCCAAAAGTTAGTTCCCCAGTTCTCAATCAAACTTGGCACTGTCCCAGATTGAGGTTGGAATCAATGTGACAGAAGTTTCACTGGAGGTCGGCCAACAGAATTCCTTCCCAGCGGAATCCAATTTAGCAGGTGTGTGACTCCCACCCACGCCAGATACAAGCAGCCAGGAAACCTTGGGAATCTCGTCGGGGTCATGTCTGTAGGGAAGCAGAGGGGATTCCTGATCCCCAACTCCCCTTACCACCAGCGGCAACACCCAAGGTCTTAGCCGCCAGTTTCCGGGGGCATGTCCACCAAAGGGGTCCGGAAAAATTAAACTGTTGGTCCCCAGATCACCGCACCACAGCACTGGGGCTTAGATGAATGACAGAGAGAGTGCTCAGTTGTTCGGGAAATAGGACATGTGGTGGGGCTACAAGTGTAACCAGATCTTTGGGGAACCGCCTCCGGTGAACAGGACCTGGCTGGCTGGCTGGCAGGAGGAAGGGGGGAGGGGCCAGAGAAGTGAAAACTTATATTCCAATAAAATAGAAGATAGTGAAGATATCGATAAATTTCTTAAGTCATATGATCTGCCCAGATTGAGTCAGGAAGACACACACAATTTAAACAGACCAATAACAAAGGAAGAAATAGAAGAAGCCATCAAAAGACTACCAACCAAGAAAGCCCTGGACCGGATGGGTATACAGCGGAGTTCTACAAAACCTTTAGAGAAGAATTAATACCAATACTTTTCAAGCTATTTCAAGAAATAGAAAAAGAAGGAGCTCTTCCAAATTCATTCTATGAGGCCAACATCACCCTGATCCCAAAACCAGACAAAGACACTTCAAAGAAGGAAAACTACAGACCAATATCTCTAATGAATCTAGATGCAAAAATTCTCAATAAAATCCTGGCGAATCGAATACAAAAGCATATCAAAAAAATTGTGCACCATGATCAAGTAGGATTCATCCCTGGGATGCAAGGACGGTTCAATATACGGAAATCAATAAATGTTATTCACCACATCAATAGACTTAAAGATAAGAACCATATGATCATCTCAATAGATGCAGAAAAAGCACTCGACAAAGTACAGCATCCCTTTATGTTCAAAACACTAGAAAAACTAGGGATAACAGGAAATTACCTCAACATTGTAAAAGCTATCTATGCTAAGCCTCAGGCTAGCATCATTCTAAATGGAGAAAAAACTGAAGGCATTCCCTCTAAAATCTGGAACAAGACAGGGATGCCCTCTCTCACCACTTCTATTCAATTTAGTTCTTGAAATACTAGCCAGAGCAATTAGACAGACGAAAGAAATTAAAGGCATCAAAATAGGAAAAGAAGAACTTAAATTATCACTATTTGCAGAAGATATGATTCTATACCTAGAAGATCCAAAAGGGTCTACAAAGAAACTACTAGAACTAATAAATGAATTCAGCAAAGTGGCAGGATATAAAATCAACATGCATAAATCAAAGGCATTTCTGTATATCAGCAACAAAACTTCTGAAATGGAAATGAGGAAAACCATTACATTCACAATATCCTCAAAAAAAAAAATAAAATACTTGGGAATCAACCTAACAAAAGAGGTGAAAGATTTACACAATGAAAACTACACAACCCTAAAGAGAGAGATAGAATAAGATCTTAGAAGATGGAAAAATATACCCTGTTCATGGATAGGCAGAACTAATATCATCAAAATGGCGATATTACCCAAAGTTCTCTACAGGTTTAATGCGATGCCAATCAAAATCCCAACAGCATTTCTTGTAGAAATAGATAAAGCAATCATGAAATTCACATGGAAAACAAAAGACCCAGAATAGCAAAAGCAATTCTAAGCAGGAAGTGTGAATCTGGAGGTATAGCGATACCAGATTTCAATCTGTACTATAGAGCAATAGTAACAAAACCAGCATGGTACTGGTACCAAAACAGGCAGGTGGACCAATGGTACAGAATAGAGGACACAGAGAACAATCCACAAAATTACAACTTTCTTATATTTGATAAAGGGGCTAAAAGCATGCAATGGAGGAAAGATAGCATCTTCAACAAATGGTGCTGGGAAAACTGGAAATCCATATGCAACAAAATGATACTGAATCCCTTTCTCTCGCCATGCACAAAAGTTAACTCAAAATGGATCAAAGAGCTTGATATCAAATCAGAGACTCTGCGCCTGATAGAAGAAAAAGTTGGCTCTGATCTACATATTGTGGGGTTGGGCTCCAAATTCCTTAATAGGACACCCATAGCACAAGGGTTAATAACTAGAATCAACAAATGGGACTTATTCAAACTAAAAAGTTTTTTCTCAGAAAGAGAAACAATAAGAGAGGTAAATAGGGAGCCTACATCCTGGGAACAAATTTTTACTCCTTACACTTCAGATAGAGCCCTAATATCCAGAGTATACAAAGAACTCAAAAAATTAAACAATAAGATAACAAATAACCCAATCAACAAATGGGCCATTGCTGGTGGGACTGCAAATTGGTGCGGCCAATTTGGAAAGCATTATGGAGATTCCTGGGAAAGCTGGGAATGGAACCACCATTTGACCCAGCTATCGCCCTTCTCGGACTATTCCCTGAGGACCTTAAAAGAGCGTACTATAGGGATACTGCCACATCAATGATCATAGCACACAATTCACAATAGCTAGACTGTGGAACCAACCTAGATGCCCTTCAATAGATGAATGGATAAAAAAAAATGTGGCATTTATACGCAATGGAGTATTACGCAGCACTAAAAAATGACAAAATCATGGAATTTGCAGGTAAATGGATGGCATTAGAGCAGATTATGCTAAGTGAAGCTAGCCAATCCTTAAAAAACAAATGCCAAATGTCTTCTTTGATATAAGGAGAGCAACTAAGAACAGAATAGGGAGGAAGAGCATGAGAAGAAGATCACCATTAAACAGGGACAAGAGGGGGGAGGGAAAGAGAGAGAGAAGGGAAATTGTATGGAAATGGAAGGAGACCCTCAATGTTACACAACATTACATATAAGAGGTTGTGAGGGGAAAGCGGGGGTGGGGAAACAAGGGAGAGAATTGAACAACAGCAGATGAGGTAGAGAGGGAAGATGGGAAGGGAGGGGAGGGGGGATAGGAAAGGTAGCAGAATAAAACAGTCACTAATATGGCATTATGTAAAAATGTGAATGTGTAACCGATGTGATTCTGCAATTTGTATGTGGGGTAAAAATGGGAGTTCATAACCCACTTGAATCAAATGTATGAAAGATGATATGTCATGAGCTTTGTAATATTTTGAACAACCAATAAAAAAATGTGACAGAAGTTTAATTTTCTAAATCATTGTGTCGATCATGGTATTGTTGTTTTTAAAAATCCTTAATAAAAGGTCTTACTAATGGAACAGAGATCTTCACATATTATTTAAGACAGATGGTACCAGACCTTAATCAATTTTGATCCTCACATAGCTCAGGAGACATTTGGTTGTCATATGTCCCCTCCCTGTATAGAACCTGCTTACTCTAAAGGCTGAATCAGTTTGTTCTATATATGGGGATGTAAGCACAGTCTATAACAGTGAAACAGGTGATTGATTTATATCTCTAAAGGCAAGAGAATTTCCCACAAGGAGCAAATAAATTTATTTGATATGTAGTCTTATAACAATTTAAGATATAATTTACATATCATACAGCTCACACAAGTGTACAGTTCAGTGGGTCTTAGTAAATTCAGAGTTGTACCACCATTACCACAATCAACTCTCCAGCATTTTCATTACCCCAAAAGAAAACCCTATACTTGTTAGCATCCCCTCCATTTTTCTCCCAATCCCCCAGCAATAGGTAAGCACTACTCTACTTTCGCTATATATAGATTTGCATATTCTGATCATTTCATATAAATGAAACCACACCATATATGGGCTCTTGTTCCTGCCTTCCTTCACTTTGCATGTTTTCAATGTTCATTCAGGCTGTATCATGTATCAGTACTTGATTACTTCATTCAAATACTGGGTATTTTTTCCATTGTATAGACATACCACATTTTGTTTATTTGTTTACTTTGTTGAACTTTAGACTTGCTCCAATTTGGGGCCATTATGAATAATGCTGCTGGGCACATTTGCCTACAAGATTTTGTGTGGACATATGTTTTCACTTCTCTTGGTTATCCACCAGCAGAGCTGAGTGCTCCAATGTCTTGGTGTCCACGCCAACACTTGTTCTCTTTTTTTTTTTTTTTTTTTGGTATAGCTATTCTAGTGGCTTCAACATGGTATCTCATTGTGGATTCCAGTGGTATCTTCTGATAACTCATGATGTTAAGCATATTTAATGTAGCTATTGATCCTTTATATTTCTTTGAAGAACCATCAATTCAATTCTTTTGTTCATTTTTTAAATTAGTTTATTTGTCTTTTTGTTATTGAGTCATACAGTTCTTTATAGTCTGGCTACATGTTCCTCCCTTGGCTGATAAGCGATTTACAATTTTTTTCTCTTGTTCTGAGTGTTGTCATTTTGCTTTCTTGATAGTGTCCTTGGAGGCAAAAGAGTTTTAAATAACTTTCATTCTGCCCAATTTATCTTTTTTTTTCTTTGCTTGTGTTTTGGTGTTATTAAGAAGCCATTGCTAACTAAAATCATGAAGATTTATGCCTGTTTTCTTCTAAGACTTTTATTGAGGTAGCTCTTAATACATAGGTCTTAAGTCCATGTTTACTCAGTTTGTGTGGGGAGGGGGGGGTAGGAGGAAGAGATCTAACTTCATCATTTGCAAGTAGAAATCCATGTTTCTAATCACCATTTGATGAAAAAATATCTTTTCCCTACTAAATAATCTTAGCACCTTTTTCAAAAATCAAAATGTAGGCATCATTTCTGGACCCTCAACTCTATTGCTACTTTATTCTTTTTGATGCTGTTGAAAATGATTTCCTTATCATCATTTTTAGTTCATTCATTGATACTTTATAGAAACCATCAATTTGTGCATTTTATTCTTGTATCCTGCGGCTCTGCTGAATTCATTTATTAATGCTAATGTTTTGTTTTGTTGTAAGTCAGTCTTTGGATTTTCTCTGAATTACTTTTAGATTTCTATGCCTGAGATTATATCATCTGCAAATAGAGCTTCCTTCTTCTTTTACCATGTAGATGTCTTTTATTTATTGTCTTGTCTAAATTGCCCTGGCTCGACCCTCCAGTATAGGTTGAATAGTAGTGGCAAGAGTAAACATCCTTGTCTGATTTCTGATTTTAGGGGGAAATCATTCAGTCTTTCACCATTAAGCATGATACAAACCGTTTTCATAAATGTATTTTATCAGGTAGTGCTCTACTATTACTAGTATGTGTGTGTGTGTTTATTATTAAAGGGTACTGGATTTTGTTAAATAATTTTTCTGTGCCTTATGAAGGTATCAATGTGGATTGTGATTAAATCTCATCTATTTCCTTTTCCAAACGCTCCAGAGAAAGCAATTAAAAATAGCATTCACTGAATAAATGATAACTTTACAAAAAAAGGCACAAAATAACATTTTTGAAAAGGTTTGTAGATAAGTAAAGATATCTAACAATCACTTTAAAATATAAAAATATAAGTATATGAGAAATTTTTCTGATTAAAACAGTAAAACTTCATTTGCTGATTATAGGAAAATATGTTCTTATAAGAAAAAAGAAGCATAACAAATTAACATATGATGATTATCACTTTTACATATATATATATATATATATATATATATATATATATATATATGAAAAAGTACATGATAGAATTACTAAATTTCTCTGGTAATGACAAACATTCTCCTATTCTAAAAAATTTCATTTTAAAATAGAGATTTGCATTTCAAAAGCCATTGTATTAACTTAATCAAAATATATCATGCTTTATACTTTATAAAATAGCATATTAACAATCATATTTATCACACAAACGTTGAGAGTTGTGTTGTTTGGGAAGATAAAAATAATAAAATTCCCAATTATAGCTTGATTGTGCTCTGTGTAGTATATATAATGCCTTCTGCTTTAATCCGCTCCAAAATGGGCCCATAGATCTCCTTTGAGAAGGGCCCCATCAGGCCTTTGGCTTCAATTTCACCTGGAAGAAAATAAAAGTGTGATTATCATTTCAAGGATGGTGCTAAAAGTTAATTTCCCCAGCAAAAGGGAAGGTATCACCCCAGCAATAATCTCAGCATAATAGATGGTCAGAAGCCTGACATTAAAACAGCTGCTTATATGTTCCCTGCTAGACTATTACTTTGTCAAGTCACTGTAAGAAAAAGGGACGAATTTTGGATTGAAAACATAGCTGAACTCAGTGTCATTAACTGCATTAATTCCTGCCAGAATGAACAGAAACCAATCTGATTATTTGACCACTAGTACCTGTTAGGATGGCTGAAACAGTAAGTCTGGGCACTTTTCATAACTTCCATGATGACCCTAGCCTTTATGGCTTCTTCACTGTGGTTCCTCAAAGACCAAGTGAGTAGTTTAATTTGACATTATCTGATATGATTTGTAGATATGTTTGCTCATTATTTCACATTTACACATATTGATGTTTTTCACTCCCTTCCTTCTTTCATACAGGCCAAATGGAGTATCATATTCAGAGGTAATGCTTATTGAATGTATATGTGATCATAAGGGGAAAGTGGAGAGTTAAAATTTGAATTCATTTATAGAGGGTTCCAGATTTCAGGTGGTTTGACATATTGGGATTTTCAACGTTATCATGGTGTGTTCAATATAAATCAATGCATTTATATGGAATAGACACATGTGATATAAATAATACTTAGGATCTTTATCTTTTCTCAGGCTAGTGATATGCCATATGATACTCTCATGCAATGCTGGGCAGCAGCAGCCAGCTACAGCTCCCTGTCAGCCATGAGATCTCCAGAGTGAATACCTGATACTCTACAGTAAACTGAGTTGCTAAGTTGATGTTCATTAGGTTAGGTGTAGTCGACGCATTTTCAACTTAAGACATTTTCAACATACAATGAGTGCATCAGGATGAAAGCCTGTGGTAAATCAAGAAGCATCCATAATCTTAAATACTAGGTACAGACAACATGCTGAAATACAAAGTTAATAAACTATGGTTCATAAAGGAAGGAAATTAACATTCCCTTGTGGGTCCCTGTATGTTGCAGGAACTTGATATGTTATTTCACTCAAACGTGACAATAGCCTTATGAATTAGGGATAGCAATACCCACTTTCAAGATGAGGAAAGTACTCAGAGGTGCTGAGTAATTGATAACCCATCACAACTATCTTATGACTGGGCTGGGTGGAAATTAGGTCTTACTCCAAAGCCTATACTCTTCCCTCTCCACATGGTGACCTCCCAGTAAGGGATCTTCTCAGATAGCTCACTTTCAGTCAATGCCAGTGTTATGCTCAAGAGTAATTATCTGATGTCCAGCACTGAATGGCTTGAAGGTGATATGAAGACAGATTCAGCCCTTAAGTGAACAGAACTTACCATTAAGCAACATTTTGGCTGCCATGGCAGTGGGTAACCCCACAGTTTTAGCCATTGCTGAAAAGCCATTGAAGTCTCCATAAACCACAAGATCAATAGTTTTATTTTCTAAATGTCCAGAAGGATGTCTGATTCCAAAGCTGTCTCTCATCACAATCATGTCTTTTTCCTCAGGGCCTTAAAAAAAATACAGACATTTAAAAATGCCACTATAACTCAAATAACTCATTATAACTCAAATATTATGTCTCATTTCCTGCCTGACCCCTTGTCCTCTCACAAACTTTCCTTCCCGTTGCATATGGTCATTAGACCATTATCCTTCTGTTTTTCAGACCCAAAACCAAGGGAAAAAAACTCAAGGAAATTAAAACTCTGATCATGTTCTTTTGTTGAGGTCATGATCACTGGCTGTGCAGTCACAAGGACAGTGCTGTAGAGGCCACATACACAATTCCAAAAATGCTCCTTAAGCATTTCCTAATAAGTTATAGTAAAGCTATTTTTGTTTCCTTTCCCACAGTATTTAAGTTCATTCTTACCTAAAAATCCTCACACTCTGGAAAAACAGCTCAAGTGTCCTTTCCCTCACATCCCATCTCCCTATTTCTACTGCTTGGTTCCAGCCTGCCAATCTACTCCTCTAATTCTATTGTATGACTTGTCCTTAGGGATACTTCTCTATGACCCCCACAGAGTACCATAGGAGAGCTTCAAGGCCAAATGCTTGGAGAGGGCGTCCACAATGGAGTCAGCCTGGGGGACTTGATCATCCCCAAGTAAGCCCAACCTGAAAAGTACAAGAAGTGGCTGCTTTAATTCAAGCCCTATACATGTTCTTATTTGGGAAGCAGAATAGAGAGTCACAAATTTTATCTCAAAAGGACAGAATTGCAAGGTAACTGCCCAAGTTCTAGATCTCTCCTAAATTATAAAATGATGATGTTTTAACCTTTTGGAGTCCTCCCCAGACTACCCCAGAGATTGCTCCTTGCAGCAGAGCAGAAATGATGCATTGTAGATCCACGTTGTAAAAAAAGCTTTTTGTGAGATTACAGATTAGCTGCTCCACTTTAAGTGTACCTGCATAATGAACAGCAGTTATGTGAATAAACATTTTAAAGTATTGGGGGGATACTCAGAGAATCTCCTACAGGAAAGCAAAATTGTACCACTTTATTCAGGAATGAATGAGAAATTTTTCAAAATGAATATTTTCCAAATTTTAGTGTCAGTGAGTTCTTCTATTCACCTACTTTTTATCCTCATATGAACATGCAGTAATCTCTCCACAGCGGACCAACATTAGAGCAGTTAGTTAACCCAAGGCAGATGCAAAATGCTCGGTTGTATCTTTACCTTTCTTTGACTAGAAAGGACCAAGTAATCATTGGTCCAATATATTTTGCTCTAACTTGAATGGGGAGTGCCTACCATTCAGCAGCCTCCAGCTGACTTTTGTCCCCTCCCAGTTTCTTGAGGACAGCTTCCTTAAGCATATCACACGTGGAGGAGCGTGAAATCCCAACTAGGTCACAGAGGAGTTGTTTCTGATTAGAAAAATAAAGATAATGAATCTGACAATATCATCCTACATGTATACATGACTACACAACCAGTGTGATTCTACATCATGCACAACCAGAAGAATGAGAAGTTTTACTCCATTAATATATGATGTGTCAAAGTGCATTCTATTGTCATGCATAATTAGAAAAAAAATTTTAAATGAGGAAAAAAGATAAAAATATAAGTTCCTGATAAAATGAGCTGAGAAATTATCCTATTAAGACATTGAACTCAAAGGTACTTCAAATTTTTAAGTTAGAAACAGCAATGTGCATGCATCTGCACCCCTACACATCTATGCATGGTATTCCAGAATGATATTTCAGTGGTAAACACTCAATACTAAGTAAAGGAAATGCCAGCATATTTCCAGCTTTCATATATCCTCTCCATCACATTTTTCGCCCACTCTTCCCCAACCTCCAGCAGTCAATTTTGGCCAGGATAAAGCGGAAGGGACTTGGCTCTGTGGTTGCCAATAGCAACCAGAGTGCTTCTGTAGGTTCAAGAGATGAGAAAGAACTAGCAGGTATAAAAAAAAAAAATCTCAGTGGCCACAGCTTTTTCTACTTTCTAAACAAAACTTTTACCAGGCTCCCAAAGGGAAAGTCATGTTTCAAATCGGGGGTCAAAAAGTTGGTTCACAAGCCAAATGGGGCTCATCACATGTTTCATAAATAAGAATTTTATTAGAACACAGTCATGCCCATTGATTTATGTGTTGCCCATGGCAGAACTGAATGGTTCCACAGAGACTATCATCTAGCCCATAAAGTCAAAAATTTTTACAGTCTAATCCTTTACCAAAAAAAGTGTGTAAACCGCTGTTCTAGACTACAGTGATCAACATACTGGATCCACCCTAAGAATGCCTGCACCACCCTCTGCAACCTAGCTGCCTCAAACACAGGTTCTCTCTAAAGATATTTACTCATTACTATCCAACAGGTAAATTTATGATAGGTAAAACTTTAATTGAAAGGTTTACAGACGCACAAAATTACTACATTGAAAACATTGGTCCTCTTCCCCTGTGGTACATTTCTGTTGGCATCTCTGCTGAAATATGGGCACATTCGTGTAAATTGAATGATCAGCTGGTAACAAGCTAACACTTTACATTCAGTTCCACACCTCCAAAGTCCCTTCCAACTCTAAGATCAAAGATATGGACATAAACTGAGTAACTAAAACTCAAATTAGTCATGGTTATGAATGGCCAAGTGAGAGGATTGGCGGGATTAGGGGTTAGGAGTCTAAAACTCTGTGATACAACAGCATCTCTTCTGGATTATCATATTCAAGGGCCCAAGTGACTCCTGCTACCATTATACAGTTGGAGGATCTCAGAGCCCAAAGCAGAGAACAAGTCGGTCTATTTTCAGAGCTCGGAGGAGTGATCCAATGGTACAAGCTAACATGGAAAATAGGCTTGGTGTGTCAATCCCTGGCCTTCTCCATCCTTCAGTAGTGGTGAACAGAAGGAGACCTTTAGGGCAAGGATTTTTCTTCCTACTTCAGCTGTCAACTGCACATCTGATCATTTCAGAAGGCTTTTCTGAAGAGCAGCAGACAGCACACAATTCCCAAGTGACTTACCCAGGTGAGAGGGTTGGCCTCAGGTCGAAGAGCAGGATATTCTTCTCTGTTGATCAGACCCAGTTTTACAAATCCATTCAGAGCTTTGGAATATCCCTGAAACAAGAATTAGTAATCAGCATAAGAAATTTTTCTCTTATAAGAAAACAACTTTCAAGATTTTTTGAAAAGAGGATCTATCTTTGTAATTGATTTAGAAAACAGACTGAAAATAGTCATTTGTATTGCTGATATGAATACAATAACCTCCAAGCTCAAACCAATCAGTAGTGTCATAAAAATTCTACTCGTTTATATAAAATACCTTGCAAAACTTGGGCCTTTATTTCTGTTTCCATGACTATGTGAGTGGTACTTTCGGACAGCATAAGGGCAAATTTCCATGTACAATATATAGATAGATTCAGTTCAGCAGACTGTCATTTAATAGAACAGTCAGTTTTGCTCTTTCTTATCATGGAAGAAGTAACTTATGGGAATATTCTCCAAAGCACATAATCCATTCTACTGATTAAGAACTACTACCCTAAAGCATATAGGGCAAAGGAAGAAAGGTTGAGAATCGAAGTTTCTAAAATGTGGATATGATAATACCACCACTCACATTAAAGTTCTGCATATGTCCTTCAGGTTACATCTGAAGTCCTTGGTATATTATATAAAACTCATCACAATGTGTCCCTGCAGCCTGACTCTCCATCTCTAACCATCCCTAAACATCTGGGCTCTTCTGCACCTGTAGCTCCTGAGTCTGCAACATGTTAACCACCTCTCTTCACCTGTGGAATTCCTGCTCTTCCCTTGGATCCAACTCTGAAACCCCAAGTGAGTGGGCATTCCCTTCCCTGAATTCCATAGTCTTTGTACTACCTCCACTGTGGCAATTAATACGTTATTCTGTGTCTGTTCATCTGGACCATAGGCATAGAAAGCAGGAAATTATATTTAATTATATTTATTATATCATCACAATATATTACTGAGTGTATACCCTTTATTCTCACACCCTCACACCATTTTCCTACATTCCAGCATTTCATTCTGCAAAAGGAGAGCAAATGACAGAATAATATTTTTGATTGACATATTAGGTCAAACAAACAACAACAACAACAAAAAAAAAAACAGTCTTGTTCTGTGTGCAAATCAGGGGGGGAATGTGAGGCCTGAAACAGGGAACTCAGTAGCTGTTCCAATAACAGCTCAAGGATAAAGAGAGAGGAAAGTAATGTTGGGAAGCAACAAAGTTTTTAATATAAATAATAGTTCCTGGTAGCCATCAGAGATCTCATCATTAAAAGTGCGGTCAACTGGTAATTTTCATATTTCTGCAAGGTTGTAATATTCTAGCTATTCAAAGAGGAAAAACAAAACAAAAAAAGGAACATGCAAGTTTACTTCAATGATCTGACAGGTACTAAAGATTTCTTAATATCAGAAATATAGGTTTTGTTTTGTTTTTATTTTTGCAGTGCTGGGACTGAACCCAGGGCTTCATGCATGCTGGACAAGAGTTCTCCCACTGAATCACATCCCCAGCCCCAGGAATAGTTTTATGGAGACCTCCAGAAATGAAGCTACTTTATAGACTGTCTTCAATAAACACTGAGCAAAACTGCTGGCACATTGCAGGGGCTGAAGCGTCAGAGATGAAAAACTTAATTCCTATCCATGAAGAAACTGTGGACCAGCAGAGGGTCAGATAAGACAGAAAAAATGATGCCTGGCAAACAAATAGTGATTATTGATATAAGTGACCACTGATGACCAAGCTACCATAGAATATTATTGGTGCTATGACAGAGGTGGACACAGTTATGGGAGCACAAAGGAGCAGAAATTGGCATAAACGAGAAAGGGGTGGCTCAAGAGCAAGGAGTTAGGAAGATCCCAGAGAAAGGTGTTATCACACTGGGTCTGGAAGGACAGCAGGTGACAGGCAGGCAGAGGATGTCACCAAGGCCTCCCTGTCATATTTGAATGACAGCGTCTCATCTCCAGCCCTAGAGAGTATATTTGGGTTGCTGAAGGTTACCATAGCTTGCTCAGGGCAGTCCTCAAGACAAACACTGCAACATCTTCCATGGTCAGGGGTTCCATGGACTTAGCTCTCATTCAAACACATTGAGGGTTTTAGTCAATACTTAAATCTATTAAGATCCTTTATTCCTAACTCTGCATGTTTAGCAAAAGACTATACTGAAAGCTCTCCAGAAATTCTAACTCCTGGACTCCACCTCCAAAAATGTTACTACCACATAGAACTAATTGAAGAAAAACAGATCAAGAAATCTTCCAGAGCAGGGGATGGCATGACTAGTTCACACAAGAATTTCTGCTGTGCCTACAGGCTTGTTGGGGAGCCAGGGCTTTTAGGTCTCTTAGGACATTATCACTGACATCTTGTTTAACTTTGGACAATGAGCACATCAGAGTATGACTGCCACCCTGCCCTCTGGGAGCTTATAATCTTTTGGGGGAGACAATAAAAATACACATATAAACAAAACTAACATGCTAGGAAGTAAATATTGGGAGACATAAAACCAATAGATGTTACAACAAGTAAGAAATAAAATGGTTATCTTTTCTTTAAAAAATAAATAAATAAATAGAGGCTGTGCGTGTAGCTCAAGTGGTAAGGTGCTCACCTACTATGCACAAGGCCCTCAGTTCAATCCTGAGAACACAAAAAATAATAATAAATAAATAAATAGGAGTATGAACCTGGCAGACATTATGCTAGGTGAATGAGTCAGACAAAAAAGAAAAACACTGTATGATCTCACTTATATGTGAAATCCTTTTTTAAAAAATATCAAATATCAAATACGCACAGATAAAGAATAACAATGGTCACCAGGCTCCTCAGGCAGCAGAGTGGCCAGGAGGGTGTTGGAAGGGGACAGAATGGGGGAGAAGTTGAACTACGGATGCAAAGCAACAGATAAAAGGATGAAGCTCCCAAGTTCATGGCCACACAGAGCTCTGAATATCAGTTTATTTTGGATACCAGCAGATGTAATAAGTTAAGCATCTCAATATGAAATCAACCTGGTTTTAGGATGGGCCCTAAATCCAATGGCTGGTATCTGAAGGAGGAGACGAGAGAATACTGAGGATGGCATGAAGACAGAGGCAGAGAGGGAATGATATGACCACATGCCAAACCTCCAGGAAGGGGCCAACCCTGCACACACCTTGATTTCAGACATCTGGCTACCTGAACAGTAACAGAATAAATTTCTGTTATTTTAAGCCATTCAATTTATGGAAATATGCTAGGAAACTATTACAGCGCTTATCCTGATCCAATTGGATCCAATTGATCCAAGCAATTTATTGAGCAGCTACTATGTAGGTACGATGCAACTGCTCTTTTGTGATCAATAAATAGGTGACGGACATTTATTTTTTTTTATTGTTGGTGGTTCAAAACATTACATAGTTCTTCATATATCATATTTCACATTTGATTCAAGTGGGTTATGAACTCCCATTTTTACCCCGTATACACATTGCAGAATCACATCGGTTACACATCCACTGATTTACATATTGCCATACTAGTGTCTGTTGTATTCTGCTGCCTTTCCTATCCTCTACTATCCCCCCTCCCCTCCCCTCCCCTCTTCTCTCTCTACCCCATCTACTGTAATTCATTTCTCCCCCTTGTTATTTTTTTCCCTTTCCCCTCACTTCCTCTTGTATGTAATTTTGTATAACCCTGAGGGTTTTCTTCATTTCCATGCAATTTCCCTTCTCTCTCCCTTTCCCTCCCACCTCTCATCCCTGTTTAATGTTAATCTTCTTCTCATGCTCTTCCTCCCTACTCTGTTCTTAGTTACTCTCCTTATATCAAAGAAGACATTTGGCATTTGTTTTTTAGGGATTGGCTAGCTTCACTTAGCATAATCTGCTCTAATGCCATCCATTTCCCTGCAAATTCTATGATTTTGTCATTTTTTAATGCAGAGTAATACCCATTGTGTATAAATGCCACATTTTTTTTTATCCATTCATCTATTGAAGGGCATCTAGGTTGGTTCCACAGTCTTGCTATTGTGAATTGTGCTGCTATGAACATCGATGTAGCAGTGTCCCTGTAGTATGCTCTTTTTAGGTCTTTAGGGAATAGACTGATAAGGGGAATAGCTGGGTCAAATGGTGGTTCCATTCCCAGCTTTCCAAGAAATCTCCATACTGCTTTCCATATTGGCTGCACCAATTTGCAGTCCAACCAGCAATGTACAAGAGTACCCTTTTCCCCACATCCTCGCCAGCACTTGTTGTTGTTTGACTTCATAATGGCTGCCAATCTTACTGGAGTGAGATGGTATCTTAGGGTGGTTTTGATTTGCATTTCTCTGACTGCTAGTGATGGTGAGCATTTTTTCATGTACTTGTTGATTGATTGTATGTCCTCGTCTGAGAAGTGTCTGTTCAGGTCCTTGGCCCATTTGTTGATTGGGTTATTTGTTTTCTTATTGTTTAATTTTTTGAGTTCTTTGTATACTCTGGATATTAGGGCTCTATCTGAAGTGTGAGGAGTAAAGATTTGTTCCCAGGATGTAGGCTCCCTATTTACCTCTCTTATTGTTTCTTTTGCTGAGAAAAAACTTTTTAGTTTGAATAAGTCCCATTTGTTGATTCTAGTTATTAACTCTTGTGCTATGGGTGTCCTATTAACGAATTTGGAGCCCGACCCCACAGTATGTAGATCATAGCCAACTTTTTCTTCTATCAGACGCCATGTATCTGATTTGATATCAAGTTCCTTGATCCATTTTGAGTTAACTTTTGTGCATGGCGAGAGAAAGGGATTCAGTTTCATTTTATTGCATATGGATTTCCAGTTTTCAAAGCACCATTTGTTGAAGATGCTATCCTTCCTTCATTGCACGCTTTTAGCCCCTTTATCAAATATAAGATAGTTATAATATTGTGGATTGGTTTCTGTGTCCTCTATTCTGTACCATTGGTCCACCCGCCTGTTTTGGTACCAGTACCATGCTGTTTTTGTTACTATTGCTCTGTAGTATAGTTTGAAGTCTGGTATCGCTGTACCACCTGATTCACACTTCCTACTTAGAGTTATTTTTGCTATTCTGGGTCTTTTTTTTTTCCATATGAATTTCATGATTGCTTTATCTATTTCTACAAGAAATGCTGTTGGGATTTTGATTGGCATTCCATTAAACCTATAGAGAACTTTTGGTAATATCTCCATTTTGATGATATTAGTTCTGCCTATCCATGAACAGGGTATATTTTTCCATCTTCTAAGATCTTCTATTTCTCTCTTTAGGGTTCTGTAGTTTTCATTGTATAAGGCTTTCACCTCTTTTGTTAGGTTGATTCCCAAATATTTTATTTTTTTTTGAAGATATTGTGAATGGAGTGGTTGTCCTCATTTCCATTTCAGAGGATTTGTCGCTGATATACAGGAATGCCTTTGATTTATGCGTGTTGATTTTATATCCTGCCACTTTGCTGAATTCATTTATTAGCTCTAATGGTTTCTTTGTAGACCCTTTTGGGTCTGCTAGGTATAGAATCATGTCTTCTGCAAATAGTGATAATTTAAGTTCTTCTTTTCCTATTTTTATGCCTTTAATTTCTTTCGTCTAATTGCTCTGGCCAGTGTTTCGAGAACTATGTTGAACAGAAGTGGTGAGAGAGGGCATCCCTGTCTTGTTCCAGATTTTAGAGGGAATGCCTTCAATTTTTCCCCGTTCAGAATGATGCTAGCCTGAGGCTTAGCATAGATAGCTTTTACAATATTGAGGTATGTTCCTGTTATCCCTAGTTTTTCTAGAGTTTTGAACATAAAGGGATGCTGTACTTTGTCTAATGCTTTTTCTGCATCTATCGAGATGATCATATGGTTCTTATCTTTAAGTCTATTGATGTGGTGAATAACATTTATTGATTTCTGTATATTGAACCAGCCTTGCATCCCAGGGATGAATCCTACTTGATCATGGTGCACAATTTTTTTGATATGTTTTTGTATCCAATTCACCAGAATTTTATTGAGGATTTTTGCATCTAGATTCATTAGAGATATTGGTCTATAGTTTTCTTTCTTTGAAGTATCTTTGTCTGGTTTAGGAATCAGGGTGATGTTGGCCTCGTAGAATGAATTTGGAAGTTCTCCCTCTTTTTCTATTTCCTGGAATAGCTTGAAAAGTATTGGTATTAGTTCTTCTTTAAAGGTTTTGTAAAACTCTGCTGTATACCCATCCGGTCCTGGGCTTTTCTTAGTTGGTAATCTTTTGATGGCTTCTTCTATTTCCTCAATTGATATTGGTCTGTTTAGGTTGTCTATATCCTCCTGACTCAATCTGGGTAGATCATATGACTTAAGAAATTTATTGATGCCTTCACTATCTTCTATTTATTGGAATATAAGGATTCAAAATAGTTTTTGATTATCTTCTGTATTTCTGAAGTGTCTGTTGTGATATTGCCTTTTTCATCCCGTATGCTCGTAATTTGAGTTCTCTCTCTTCTTCTCTTCATTAGCATGGCTAAGGGTCTGTCGATTTTATTTATTTTTTCAAAGAACCAACTTTTAGTTTTGTCAATTTTTTCAATTGTTTCTTTTGTTTCGATTTCATTAATTTCAGCTCTGATTTTAATTATTTCTTGCCTTCTACTTCTTTTGCTGTTGTTTTGCTCTTCTTTTTCTAGGATTTTAAGATGAAGTGTGAGATCATTTATTTGTTGGTTTTTCCTTTTTTAAAGGAATGAACTCCAAGCAATGAATTTTCCTCTTAGAACTGCTTTCATTGTGTCCCATAGATTCTGATATGTTGTGTCTGTGTTTTCATTTATCTCTAAGAATTTTTTAATTTCCTCCTTGATGTCTTCTATAACCCATTGATCATTCAGTAACCTATTGTTCATTCTCCAAGTGATGTATGATTTTTCCTTCCTTCTTTTATCGTTGATTTCCAGTTTCATTCCATTATGATCAGATAAGATGCATGGTATTATCTCTACTCCTTTATATTGTCTAAGAGTTGCCCTGTGACATAATATATGATCTATTTTTGAGAAGGATCCATGTGCTGCTGGGAAAAAAAGTGTAACTGCTTGATGTTGGGTGGTATATTCTATACATGTCAATTAAGTCTAGGTTATTAATTATATTATTGAGTTCTATAGTTTCTTTATTCAACTTTTGTTTGGAAGATCTGTCCAGTGGTGAGAGAGATGTGTTGAAGTCTCCCATAATTATTGTATGGTGGTCTATTAGACTCTTGAACTTGAGAAGAGTTTGTTTGATGAACATAGCTGCACCATTGTTTGGAGCATATATATTTATGATTGTTATGTCTTGTTGGTGTATGGTTCCCTTGAGCAGTATGTAGTGTGCCTCTTTATCCTTTTTGATTAACTTTGGCTTGAAATCTATTTTATTTGATATGATATGGACACTCCTGCTTGTTTCCAAAGACCATATGAGTGATATGATTTTTCCAACCTTTCACCTTCAGTCTATGTCTTTTCCTATGAAATGCATCTCCTGTAGGCAGCATATTGTTGGATCTTTTTTTATCCACTCTACTAGCCTGTGTCTCTTAATTGGTGAGTTTAAGCCATTAACATTTAGGGTTATTATTGAGATATGGATTGTTCTTCCAGCCATATTTGTTTATTTATGTTACTTAACATGGTTTGTTTTTCCTCTTTGATTATTTTTTCCCTTTACTGTACTACCTCCCACTGTTGGTTTTCATTGTTATTTTCCATTTCCTCTTCCTGTAATGTTTTGCCGAGGATGTTTTGAAGAGATGGTTTTCTAGCTGAAAATTCTTTTAGCTTTGTTTATCATGGAAGGTTTTAATTTCATCTTCCATCCTGAAGCTTAATTTCACTGGATACACAATTCTTGGTTGGAACCCATTTTCTTTCAGCGTTTGAAATATGTTGTTCCAGGACCTTCTAGCTTTCAGAGTCTGTGTTGAAAGTCCAGCTGTTATCCTGATTGGTTTACCCCTAAATGTAATCTGCTTCCTTTATCTTGAAGCTTTTAAAATTCTCTCCTTATTCTGTATGTTGGACATCTTCTTTATAATGTGTCTAGGTGTGGATCTCTTATGATTTTGCACATTCGGCATCCTGTAGGCTTCTAGGATTTGGGATTCTCTCTCATTCTTCAAGTCTGGGAAGTTTTCTCATATTATTTCGTTGAACAGATTGCTCATTCCTTTGGTTTGGACCTCTATACCTTCCTGTATCCCAATGACTCTTAAGTTTGGTCTCTTTATGTTATCCCATATTTTTTGGATGTTCTGCTCATGGTTTCTTAAGAGTCTTGCTGAACTGTCTATGCGCTTTTCAAGTTGAAATACTTTGTCTTCATAGTCTGATGTTCTATCTTCTAAGTGTTCTACTCTGCTGGTAGTATTCTCATTTGAGTTTTTAAGTTGGTTTATTGCTTCCTGCATTTCTAGGATTTCTGTTTGTGTTTTTATAACCTCTATCTCCCTCTATAGCTGATCTTTTGCTTCTTGGATTTGTTTATGTAATTCATTGTTGAAGTGATCTTTCATTGTCTGATTTTGCTGTCTAATGTCTTCCTTGATACTCCAGATCATCTGAAGCATGTATATCCTGAATTCTTTATCTGACATTCCATCTGCTGCAGCTATTACCTCTTTTAAGGTTGAGTTGACCTGCATTGCTTGTGGTCCTTTCTTTCCTTGTCTTTTCATACTGCTCGCGTTTCTTTCTGCTTGGTGAAACTGTTGTGTTCTTGAATTTCCCCCCTATATATTTATATTGCTCTTGTATAGTTGGAATGTCTCCCTTGCAGGGGCGGGCGGCAGCTGTGCTCCTCCTCCAATTGGGGTGATCTCTCTACCACGTTGGCGGGCCGCTGGGCCTGTTCTCCAGGTTGCAGGTCTGCCTACCTTGCAGGCACAGGCGGCAGCTCTGCCCCTCCTCCAATTGGGGTGATGTGTCTACCATGCCGACGGGCCGCTGGGCCTGTTCTGCCAGTCGGTCACAGGTCTTCCTACCTTGCAGGCGCGGGTGGCTGCTCTGCTCTGCCCCTCCTCCAATTGGGGTGATGTGTCTACCACACCGGCGGACCGCTAGGCCTATTCTGCCAGTCAGTCTCAGGTCTGCCTACCTTGGTAACGGACATTTATATTTTTTCCTCCTAGAATGTGTTATCCATTGGGTGGTCTAAAAACATTCCAGGGCTGGAGTTTTGGCTCAGTGGCAGAGTGCTTCCCTGGCATGTGTGAGGCTGTGGGACCCATCCTCAGCACCACATACACATAAAACAAAATAAAAGATCCATTGACAACTAAAAAAATACTTTAAAAAAATTCCTGGTGTGCTTTGGGGAAGTCCCTGTCACCCTGTCCCTTTCCCCAGCTCCAATCCAGATGTTTCAAATGAGACTGACTCCATCTTCATCAATATTGAATATCATAGATCAAAATATACTTTTATTCTACCAACATCGGAGATAAATCCCAGCTAAAGAGACAAAAAATGCATTTTTAATGATTAGAAAGATGAGCTTTTATATTTCCACTGGATTTCACAGAGTGCAAGAAGTAAAGCCCCTGCCATCTGCCTGCCACTGTGTGGAAATCGGGACTGCAGGGAATCCTGGCGAAAAGGGCTGGGGAACAAAGAGAAATTGAGTCCTGGTGAGGCCACATGGCCCCCAAATCTCACAAACCTGAACCTTCTTGCCCCTGACTGCTAATAAGGCATTATATTTTCCTTTGTGATTTTGAGTTGACATCTGACATTCTAAAACTGTTAATCAAAAGAGAAAAGAGGCACATTCTAAAACTGTTAATCAAAAGAGAATATAGGCTGTGATTTGGTTTTTCATCTCAATTACTTTGATTAATAAGGGAAATTAAGTATTCACACACTTACATCAAAACTGGCAAGGTGTTTAATCTACAATACAGTTGCTTACCTTATACCTCAGTGTGCCCCGCAGCAGCGTGTGGGCAGACGGAATGCCGTAGATCTCAGCATACCTGGTACTGTCTCTATTGGGATACCCTTCCAGATTCAGTCCCGGGAAGTAATCCATGGAAGTGACTGCGTCCAAAAAGGACACCCCTCCTGTGACATTCACGACCTGAGAACATTGAAGAGGTGCAGGTGGGGTTACAGCAGAGCTTGTTCCCCTCTGGGTTCATCTGCATCAACTACCCCAAAGAAACAGAAGTTTAAAAAATAAAATTTTAATGAAACCATCGTAATCAGCATCCCAGAGTCAAGCTGTTTCACTGTTACCATAATTTTATAAATTTTTCAATAAACTTATGAATTATGGTAACACTAAGGCAAAAATAACAGATACTTATTTAAATGGCTTCTATGTTCAAATCGAAATGGTAATTTTTTTGTTGTTGTTTTCACTCTCACACCCTCTTGAATTCCATGTCAGGCCTGAGTCATACATTCCTTTCACACAGCTAGCATTTATTGAGCAGCTACTATGTATGTCCAGGGATCACACAAATTGTGGAGAGAATAAGGACAGTGATGAGTATGATGTAATATCTGTCTTCCATCTACTCTTTTTCTCATTGAAAATTAACTATATGTCTATCCAGTACCTGGAACCATGAAGTAGCAACTACAAAGAGCTCACAGCCAGACCAGTACATAAAACTTTGTGTACATGTTAGAGGGCAGGTGAGGTTGTGAGGAGACCTCCCTTCACAACAAAGACAATGCTGAGAGCATACAGTGAAACTCAAATAAGTACTACCCATAATCTTATGGCCGATGAGAAGTTAATCATGGATTCCCAAGCTCTTTAATATCTCACATCTTTTACCTGTACCTCTTCCCACACGCACATTCAAAATGCAGTAAAGCTGCATGACCAATGTAATTCTGTAATACGTACACTCAGAAAAATGAGAAATTATATCCCATCTGACTCAAATGTATGATATGTCAAGATCATTGTACTGTCATGTGTAACTAATTAAAACAAATTAAAGAAATAAATAAATAAAAGGCAAGTGGAAAAAAATGCAGTAAAGCTCTTTTGTTCTGTTGCTTGGTTTTGTCTTTATTTTAATTGGAGGACTACATTTTCTTTTAGTTTGTGAGGTTTGTGGTTATCTGAGAGATAATGGAAAGAATTCTGGAGTGATAAAATCAGGGCTGAGACTTCGGGTCAGGGATCCTAGTGAGCTGGATTTTGTCCTGGCTGCACAGCGAGCCACCATCTCTGACCACATCTCTAAAACTGTACACTCGACAAGGCACAAAGAGGTTTCCAGGGAGCCTCAGGACGAACTCAAAGGAATTTTCCCAAAGGCAATGCTTTGGCTACACTTAATTACTCCCATAGTTATTTGCAGATGGGCTCCACATGTGCCTTAACATGAACAATCAACACCTCATCTCAACATGGCGGAAGACCAGGAGGAAAAGGGCTGCCCAGACTGCAGTGTCAGGATGGGCAGAATCTCTCTGGTTAAAACGCTGTGCTGCTGTGAGAAATGCCTTCCATTTAATTTTCTTGTAACCCCTTCTGCGATGCACCACTAACATTTCCAGAGAGGCAATTTCTGTACTATTTGTTTAAAATAAATCTTCTGATATGATTCGAAAGTTTTTTAAAAATCAAATAAAGAAGGTAAATGTTGACGCTTAGGGTCTCCACATCCATTTCCCTTCTATAACCTATGGCAATTCCAAAGTTCTGTTTACTTATTTAAAGGTTAGGAAATTTTTAAAAAAGAAAAACTGAATAAAAATGATGAAAGATGAAAGTCCAGCATCTTACCAATGAGAAATAAATCAGCTAGTTCGTAAGTCCATCATGAATTCTGGGGAAGAAAATCAGGAACTGTAAACTGAATGGTATTGATTCATTTAGAGAGACTGACAGTTGGCTAAGCAACCAGATCCAGAAAATTACAGGGTAATCATTACCACTTGTATCAATTCAGAGTTGCATTTCTAGTGACATACCATGGGTTCAATAAACCCTGTCATGTTTAATATTTAAGTAATGACTTGAATGAAGACAGAAAGATGTATCTACTTCACAGAGAGTATGCATTTCATTTCTTTATTCTCTGATGATACTAACATCCAAGACCTACTCTCAGCAGAATCTGGCTCATCTCTCATTGATGTTGCAGGCCACTCTAAGTCCAAATGTTTTACACACACACACACACACACACACACATGCACGCATACATCTCCTAGTCATTAAGAATCATTGTCAAATGTTTTATATCAAACATTCAAATAACCACAATCTGCTTCATCACTAAGCAACAAGAAAATTTTTCCCTATGTAATTAGTTTTTAGTTATTTATTTTTATTTGTTCTTTTTAGAAATACATGACAGTAGAGTATATTTTGACATGTTTATAACCACAGAGAGTATATCTTATCCTTATAGGTTTTCAGAAAGTCACCTACTTCTACTCTAAAGTCCTGGAAATCCTGACTGACAACTGATGTGATATGAAAATTGCTCAAGTGATACAACGAGGAATTTAACACAGGAAACACAGAGTCATTTATTCCAGGCCCATAGTATTTCAAGTGCCTTGGGTACCTTCTCTTCCATCTAGGCAATAGCATATTTGATAGAGGTAGAAACTGAGGCTCAGAGAGTCACCCATGAGCAAACTTGAAGCCAGGTCTATCCAACTCTAATGCCCATGTGCTTTCTACTTCATGACACGGCCCTCTTAATTGTGCTTATTTCTGAATGAGTATTTTGAAAAGATATTGACACAGTATATCACCTCCGATTGTGCCACCAGTGGAGTATCTGAGGAAAGTATGGATTGCTGTGGGCAGTGGGAGAGCCATAATTGTCCTGATTTCCTAAAGGCTACTGCAGTCAGGTGCTGGCAGGCAGGGGAAAGTGGGCTCCTAGAAAACTTAACCTTGAAGCTATGGTTGCAGAGAAAGCAGGTTTTACTTGAAGTATGTGTTTATCTGGGGTAGACTGGGAGAGGAAGCTGAAAGAGACCATGACAAAGCTCTGCCATGTCCTGCCCAAATGTAAGACTGTCTTTCTTCCCAAGGCAGGAAAGCTAAGCACCACCTGTAGAGGAAAAGGAACTAGGAGAAGATGAATCACTGTCTCTAAATAGGTGGAAGGAAATCAGACTTGTTAGAAATCTGATTAGAATTGAGAAATAGTACCAGTGTCTGGAACTTACCACAAGGACATGAGATAATATGTCCTAACTCATTTTCTAATTGCTGGAAAAGTTTGACACTTCAATTTTAAATAGAAGCCAGAGAGATCACTTGGCTCCCTCGGTAAGATTCTACGTGTCATTTAAGGCTGGCTCTGTGGTGGAGGTGATGGAAGCAGAGTGGGTGGAGGGACAAGAATACAAGAGAGGTTTTAAGAAGTTTAACAGTCTGGCTCCGGAGACAGACTGGATACACTTGAGTTACTGAGTGACTAATAACAACGCCCAGAAAAATACAGACAATGGAGTGTTAAGTATCTGACATGTAATTGAATTCAGACAAAGGAGTGAATGGAAGACAGAGTGTCAGGAAAAGCTGTCCGCAAAAAACTTAAGCAGGACCTTGAAAAAAAAATGCAAAGAAAGAAAAGCATCATGTGTTTTCTTTTTCAAATTCCCCACAGTGTCAGGAAAATGTGAAAAAGCACTCCTTTCAAATTCAACAAATATGACTTCTGCTGCCGAGAATAACCTCTTGCTTTTCCTGAGCTCTCATGACCATTAATTTCTTTATTTTGCTGATATCTGCTAAAGACTGATGACATGCCTGTCAACCAGTTGTTAAGCAGATTGCAATCTCTAGGATTTCACTGAGTCTTATTGCGGGAACCCTGCGAAGCTGATATTATTGTCCTCTTTAGACAAGAAGCCCAAAGTCCACCCAGCTCATGGCAGAACAAAACCAGGTCCATGGGTGTCCAATCCCTTGCTCCTTCCACTAGGCATTCTGCTGAGCCTTTCATTGGATCTTCCCTAGCATTGAGATAGCCTCCTGAAAATCAGCATTTTGCACAATTGAAGCAAGAATTTTTCTAGCTAGTCCTAGCATTTGTAAGAAACACAGGCCAATGTCCTTCCAAAATGCAAGAGGTGGAAGGAGCTGCTGAAATGCAACAGGAGGCAGACAGTAAGCAGCACATGAAAGGATGTGTGCACTTGGGAGAACATTGGTCTGAGATTCTGGCCCAAACCATAATGATTCATGGAACTGGAGAACTGGATGAAATTTCAGTGTTCATATCACACATGGAGAGACTGATATGCAATGGACTTAACCATTGCCTAGCCTTTGGTGACACTGTGAAGGAAGCCAGCACTTGGTTTCTTATTCTGAAGCATTCAATATCTTTCCCACATTCGCCTAAAGTGCCCTGCTTATTTAGTAGGGTTCTAAATGAATCTATAGTCTGCTGATCACACTAGAATGTAGATGGACACTAGAATCAGTTGGGAAGATTTTTTTTTAAATCCCAAAACTCTGGTGAATCAGAATCTTTAAGGATAGGACCCAGGTATCTGATATGCAGCCAAGTTTATGATCAAGATTTACATCATAGGCATGAAAGACCTGGCTGATGGGCAATGGAAACAATCAATAAGTCCAAACAATTGGGAGCCACATCCCAAATCATGTGATTTAATACTGGGTCAGCCGTTTGTGCCTAACTCTCTACAATTGACTTCTCCTTCATGGATTTGCTTCATAAAGGGAAGCGCCCTGCCTGAATGGCACCTTCTTATCCTTCCAGGCTGAGCTCAGCCTTCTCTCCATTGCTTTTCCTTCTTTCTCCACCGACCATTTCACCTAGGTTAGATCAGCTGCCCTCTGTGTATGTCTGTGGCATGTTAGTATACTTTAGAAATGCTTCTTCTTATATTATAGTTGTTTATTCCAGTGTCTATTGTTTCACTGATAGCAAGCAATCTAGGAAAAGGGGAAAGAAAAGGTTTTGGAGTCATTTAGAACTGGCTTTGAGTCCCTGATGATGACCTTGAACATCCTCTCTGAGACAATTTCCTTACATGAATTGGTAAAAATAATACTAAATTAGGAGAGTACTTATGTTCTGTTACACAGCAGCTAGGGATGAAATTGTACCGAGAGCCACCCCCATCAGTGGTGAGTTCTCTGAGGATGGGCACTGCATTCAGTGTGGCAGCCTTTGGTGCCTCATCCCACAGCCAACAACAGCAGCTACTCAGTAAATGCTGAAATAAATGCAAAGATGACCAGAATGTATGAGTGTAGAGATGAGATGTGAATTTCCAAAAGCAACTTGCAAGAAGACAAAAAGAGAAGAATGCGAACAGGCTTTGCTGGAAGGTAAGACCACACTAAATGGTACAGGAGATGTATGCTGGGAAGGAAGGGACAATGGGGGCGGGGGAGGCAGCAGAGCCATTGTTAGAGGACCTCGGCAGCAACTCAGGGAGAGAGAGTTTGGACTTTGTTAGGCAGTCATTGCAGGTTTGTATCTCTAAAGCTTTGAAGGTATTTCTTTACCTTTCCATTGAGCAGATAGGTGGCAGGCTGCATGATATTCATCAAAACGCCCATTGGACTCCAGCTAAATTTGTATCTCAAAGGGTTGTCTGAATGTTCAGGGGCTGGGATCCCACCACAGTAGGAAATGTAAGATTCAATCTGTAAATAAAAACATTAATGGATGAGGGAGAATAAAAAATAAGTTAGGGAGAATAATGAATTTAAATCATCAGTTGAGGGCAATGATATTCATGGGGTAAATCTGCTGTAAAGTTTTTCTTCTTTTGAAGTATTAAAGCTTTAACTATATGTCCTTAACATCAGACACTAATTGATTAACTAGTTATATTTGATAAACATTAAAAATAAAAGGGATATCTAGAGAGAGTAACTAACATTTTGTTCATTTAAAAATGAACTTCTTATCAATTACTTCTTATCAAATTACTTCTTATCAATTCCAGTTCATATTAAAATTTACATGTATTTTTATATTCCAAAAATTAAAACAGTTAACATATTCAATAGTACTTTGTTATGTGCAAATATCTCATACTCCAACATAATGACGATATTCCAAAGACCCTTTTCTCACTTTCAAAAGTCAAACTATATTACAGAACCTCCAAAGCAGTCCATAAACCTCCATAAAGAATTTATTCTTTATGAAGCTAAAATATTGTAGTAATGTCCATTTTTTCTAAAAATTAGTTGCTACCCAAGACTCAGACATTGTTTTATATTTTTGACTGACGGCACAAAATTTTATTTGAAATTCCCCGGCAAAGAATGAGCTATAATGCAGCAGCATCATTCGTGACAATTATAGAAAGATTGTGTACATGAGAAACGACCTTTTAATGTCTTTCTAAATGGACTTTGGGATTAAACTAGGCTCACCGTGGCTCCCACTTCTTTGGCCTTATCAATTGTTTCCATTGCCAACATGTGATCCAGCCCAGGGTCCAATCCCAATTCACCAATGACAGTGATTCCAGCATCCTCCACACTGCAAACAGGTGGAAAGAGGAACAACAAAAAGTTGGATATAAAGTGAAAACAAAGCCACAGAGCCACTTAATTTGTTGGAAATGGTTGGAACGCACCTCTTTTCCAGTTCTTTTAGGGCTGGTGTGATGTAGCTTGCAGTGATCATGTTAACTTTGCTTGCGACACATGCCTTGGCCACGATAGGATGCAACACGTAAGGCAACAGGCTTAAAAACAGAGGCAGAAATGAATAAGAAACTCTCTTTTCATTATGGATTGGATCTGGAATGTCCCCCCTAAAGTTGACGTGTTTCAGGCTTGCTCCCCAAATCAGCAATGTACAGAGGTGGGGCTTTGGGGAAGTAATTGGATGGACTCTGACCTCATCAGTGGATTAGTCCATTGATAGCTGAATAGACTGCTGAGAAGTAGTGAAAACTGTAGGCAAGTGGGACACAGTTGGAGGAAGTGGGTACCTGAGAGCATGCCCTGGGGACTATGTCTTGTCCCTTCCCCTACCATCTCTCTGTTTCCTGGCTGTCATGAACTTCCTCTGTCCTGCCCTTTCACCATGATTTTCTGCCTCATCTCAGAGCCAAAGCAATGGACCCAGTCTACTATGGACCAAAATCTCCTGAACCCTGAGCCAAAACAAATTTTTCCCAAAGTTACTTTCCTCAGGTGTTTGTCACTGTTGCAAAAAGCTGACTAACACACACCCCCTTCCGACGCACCTTTATCTGTATGAACATTCAGTCCCATGGCACTTCTCTCAGAAATGACCAAGGACTCCCTGAGGTTCATAGAATAAATTCATCCTGCTGGCACATCTAAAAGCCTCCTTAGTGACCCTCACTTAACCTCCATCTCTTCCCTCAGTCTGTTCATATGTTATATGGAAACAAAGGAGTAATTGTCATTCTTCACTCAAGGTCTAGATGGAAGGACTTCAGTTGATGTTGTTTTGATTTTTGGAAAATGGGATTAGAGCTGACCCCTCTTTTTGAAGGTGATATAATGGGCACTCAGTGGGACATACCTTGAGTCATTTGACTTCAACCCAATTAATCCAAAATGATTAAAAGTATCAGTTGTAAAAAACACACTCAAAATGCAAATGGATTTTCAAAGAAACTAACCAAATTTGATTACTATTTCATATTAAATCATTAAAAACTAAAATTTTAAAAATTAAAACCATTAAAATTTAATATATTATTATATTTGTTTGTAAAACATTTTTGCCCATTTTAGTTCTTAAACCCCTAACACTGTATTTATATCAAAATAACTTTTCCAACTTAAAAAATAATAAAGTTATTTAAGGAATAATACAGAATAATAATGTCTAATGAAATCACCACTATTCAGCATATAAAATTCACCAAGTACAAAAAAGTTAAACAAAAAACAGATTTTACTAAGGCTAACTGCTATTGAAGGCTACTAGTTTGCTTAATTTGAATTTTGAACATTAATAAATTGCCTTTATCCATTATCTTGTCATATTTTGCTTCAGATTTCCTTTGAAGTGTGTTTTATTATGTTATTTTCTTTTTGTTTTCTCAGAAAAATGGCATATTTAAGTATCCATGTGTGATAAGATAAATTATTTTGCTTTACTATGGTTAGACTACTCAAGTTTGAATCAGAATTATTTATCATAGTCATATCATTACCAGACAAGATATATTTATCTTTAGTTAATTTTTGCTAAATAAAAATTAATTTATATAAAATATGTCTAATATGAGTAAACTTTAAAGTGCCCAAGGTGAGCCTATATTCAAAGATATCAAGAGGTAATGCATAACTTCCCACCTATAATTAGAATCACCTTTCATTCAATCTGTTTCCAAGTCTACTTTTTAAAATGGACATTACAAAACTTCCTCCAAAGATACAATTTGAATCTGATCTAACTATGGACATTATTAAGCAATCACTATCAGTAAGCAGGTAGTTTTTTTTTTTTCTCCTACCTTGGAAAAATTGTATTCTAAGAATAAATCACTATTCTCATGACTTTGACATTCAAATCTAACACTGACCTCATGTATATCTATCAATCAATGTTAGATCTATAAAGTTCAATCTGCTTTTTTAAGTAGCAATAATCACTATATTGGAAGATATGTTCCCATGGTAAGACTTAAAATGTTTAAAGGAGAATCTCCTTCTCAATTAAGCTTTACAAGTCCAGAAGAAAAAATAGACAAAAACATGAAATATGAATAACTCATGATCCAGGAATTCTACTTCAAGTTTAAAATCATCAGAACGTAGTCTATATGGTCACCAAGAAACAAACACTAAAATGTTTATAGCAGCATAATTCATAAATTCAAAATCCAGAAACAACCTAAATATCTACCAACAGTCAAATAAATAGCAATTGTATATTCATACAAAAGAATTCTACAGAGTCATGAGAATAAATAAACTACAATTCCAGACAATAACAAACGTTTCTCACAATCACAATGTTGAATAAAGGAAGGATTACTGGTTGAACCCAAGTACACCAAGGTTGGAAACAGACAAAACCTAATCTGTATGTTAGAAGCCAGAAGAACATTTACACTAGAGGACAAAGTTGATGAATGGGAAGTGACACAAAGAGTTCCTGGGGTACCACTCCCATTTGTTTCTTGATGTGGATATGTTCATTCTAAAAATTCACTGAGCTACAAGTTTTATGCACCTTACTGGATGCATATTTCAATTGAAAAGAGAACAGAGGAGCAGAGGAGAGAAGGGGAGAAGGAGAAAGACCAAGAGAAAATAAGGGAAGAGAAATAACAACCAAAAAGAAATATAGAACTCATTCTTTCCAAATACCTGATGACAAGATCCTGTGTTGCCACCAAGGAGCCCAACTTTTCTTCTTGTGTACAAATGTTCATGCTAACAGGCTTGATATTATATTTCTTGCTTAACTGTTTAATTTGATTCATCATGTCAGAGCCTATTTCAAGAATTAAAAAGTCCAATTTTTAGATTTCTTGCCACTGGACAAAGAGTAACATACAACATCTCCAAAAAATAATTTTAGAAAGAAAATTGTTATCTAAAATTTACATCACAACAGACACTAGTATGGCAATATGTAAATCAATGGATGTGTAACCGATGTGAATCTGCAATCTGTATACGGGGTAAAAATGGGAGTTCATAACCCACTTGAATCAAAGTGTGAAATATGATATATCAAGAACTATGCAATGTTTTGAGCAAACAACAATAAAAAAATTAAAAAAAATAAATAAATAAAATAAAATTTACATCAGTTTTTCTTCTTCCAAAAAAAAAAAAAAAAACAAGGGCTTATTTACCTACTGTTATTTCTATGTTTCTGTCTCTTGACAGGTATTCTAACACAGGTTCAGACACGTAGCCAGATCCAAGAACCAACACCTTTTTCTTGGTACTCATTGAAATTGATTGAACACGTTCTCTGTGGGGGGAAAAATAGGTGGGGGGTATCATTTAAAATCTTATGCATTATATATAGCAGAATCTTTCTATCCCCAAAACAAAGCAAAACCTGGACTATGAGGAAATAATTTCTCCCACACTACTTAAATAAGAACTTGAACAGAAATTCCTTATACCAATTTAGATTTTGTAGGATGGAGACAGAAGCCTCACATCACTGAGATGTCCTGTGTGTGTCGACGTCCCATGCAGACACTGGACCACTTCTTGGCTTACTCATAACTCTAAGTTGGCTTTACAGTTTTTCCTTCAAGGGGATATGATTCAGTCGTGCTAAGGGCTTTCCTTTGGGACTTGATTTGAATCCTCACAACAGTGCAAAGAGACAATAATCTGAGATCACTATTATACACATTAGAAGTTGTTTTGCTATGTATCTTTAGGGTCATATGAGAACAGTCAAAATCATAGCTCTAAAATTACAAATGCAATGGCTTTACTGTAGAAACTTGAGGCTAATTCCAGGATGGAGTTTCATTTTCGAACAGTTTGTTCTGTTAGAATTCAAACCTTATTCTGGGAAAAAGCCTTTCTTTCCTACAAACAGTGATGAAGACATCGTTATAAACCCATTAATGCTTTGAATATGGAAGGTACTCATAAAGTGTCTTAAGAGAGAGAGAGAGAAAATTTTTTAATATTTATTTTTTAGGGTTTTTTTTGGTGGACACAACATCTTTTATTTGTATGTGGTGCTGAGAATCGAACCCAGCGCCACAGGCATGCCAGGCGAGCACACTATCGCTTGAGCCACATCCCCAGCCCTCATTAAGTGTCTTTTGAATCAAATTCCCAAATATCAACATGAAACCATAGAGCTGGCCTAGTGCCAGAAGCTGTTTTAATCTTTAGGCCAGGATGTCTCTCAAATTATAAACCATGAATCTTTTCATTATTAACAAATGATAAATATAAATATAACATGTCCCTGCCTCTCTTCACTCACACCATATGCATATCACTAATGAGAAAAGATCTCCCTAACTGCTATTCCCATCCCATTTCACCTTCCAAAGAATCACCATTAATTGGTTACTGTATAATCTTTCTATAACATTTTCTAAATTTTGTGTAATTAAAACTTTTTGATGTATAAATATAAAATGTTCAAAATATGTTTTAAAGCACTCATTCCTAGATTCTAACCCTGTTCACTTCTTCAGGATCCCCAAGACCCTGGTTCCAGGTGAATGATCACTGGGCCAAGTGATGAAAAGAACACAAGAATCAGACAGGATTCAAACTAAGGTAAATTTTCCTTTCAAAATGCAATCTTCATTATCAGTCTCCTAGCACAAGAATTCATTGGGGAAGGTAGAAGGTGAAGTCCTAATAGTTGGAACCAAGGAGACCTGCTACTACATGAAATATGGTACATTGTGAAGATATTATTGTCATTGGTCATATTAGCTATGTGACTGGTGTAAGTAGTGAAAAAGGTAATCAGATAATGAGAATAAAAAGACAGAGGAAGCTGTAGGATACACCACGTGCAGTTGCCCCTCTAGGAAATTCTCTGATGGCATTATAGAGCTAGCTTCTTTTTAAAAATAATTAAACACTCTTTTGCCAGAATGCTTCATTGCTTCATTAAATAAAGCAAACCCATGTGCGAAAGACATAACTTTGAAATACTTGATCTGGGCAGATCTTTTTACTCACTTCTTATAGGGAGAACCACTGAGCAAGACATATTTTTGTTTTCTCACTCTAGTTTCTCCTGAGAATTCAGTCACAAGCTATGTTTTTAAATGTGAAGAGACCAGTGGAGCAGATATAAATACAAACTAAGTGTAATCAGCTGGAGCAAATCAGAATATTCCAAAGAAGTGTCAATGTTTTCAGAATCCAAGAAAAGAAACAGGAGTCTCAGCTGAATACCTAAGAGAACTATTATCTTAGGTAGATTTGCTAAAACATTATGTGGCACCTTCTTTCAAATGAGAATCCCTAGGAAAAATTACCTGTCACTATTTGCTTTGTTCACTATTTCCCTTAATGTCTTCCTAAGAGCCCACTTTCCAGAACCACACACTAGACAAAAGAAAGTCCCAACCTTCATCTAAAATCCAAATGGAAAACACCACAGTGGAGTTAATATTCTCATTTTCCTTTGAAAAAAATGACTGAGGAATCAAAACACACGAAATGCTAGAGGAAGAACAAGGGGCTACTCAAATGACAGCCCTTTTGGACTTTTGCTTATTTAAGTTCAGTCACTTCGCTTGGATGTTCTACATTTACAGAGACGACAGGATCAAAATTAGCAGGCTGTATAAGCCTAAAATTAAGAACTCCCATTGAAGTTTTTAAAAAATACTCATCAAATCCAAGAACAAATGTATAAAACAGGAGAATCTAAACCGTACTTACCTACTCTCTCGAAGTTTCTGGATATATTTGTATTTATCAGTCAATGTACCATTGGATGTGATCACTGCCTAAATGTATATGACACAAGAAATTTCTTTTAGCATCCAACTAATTCAGTCCTACAAACATGGGCTGGTGACCAATAGAAAAGAGGCAGAGGGGCAGAAGTCAAAAGTCACCCACACTCTCCTCCTGCTGTCTCCCAAAATTGAGTCAGACAATGACAAAAGTCACATCTCTCAAATTAACATCCCAGCATCCTTCTAGCCTTTCTCCCTTCTTCCTAAATTTCCAGAGAGAGAGAAAGAGGGAGAGAGAATGAATAAAGGACAGAGGGGAGTGAGGATGGTCTTCAGAAAATACATTCATGTAAAGAAATTCTTATAACTTACGTCTCGCACCACAGGAGAAAAATTCTGACTTTCAAGAGGCTGTGATGCATCCGATAATAACTGAAAGAAAAGAGATTCAGGAGAGATAAGTGATACTGAGAAGGTGACTTCTTGGTGTTTGTATCCATACTAAAATATTAGTCAAAAAACTGAAAGAAATTATTAGAGTTTATTGAAGATCACGAAATATAAATACTTAGCAATAGAAATCTTCTGTAAGTAATCAAGTCTGCTCCCAAGAGTGTGTGGTAATTTCAATCCAATTTTAAAACTAAATTTTGACTGCAATCATTGCTTGCTAAGAACACACACAAAAGCTGATCTTTCCCACCTACTTAGATGCATCATATTGAGTAGATTATAAATAACCACAAGCTTTAGACCTCTGATACAGAGATCCTCCATTCCAAAAGTTTAAGCTGATCCTTTGGAAGTAGAGAATGGGGTTTGCACTCAGCAAGCCCCCACCCCTACAGTATTAGCTCTATGTGTAGGCATATCGGCATCTTGAAAGTGGTGGAGAGAGTGACTTGAAGAAGTAGAACACAAAAGTCACCCACGCTCTCCTCCCACGGTCTCCCAATAGTGAGTCACACAATGACAAAATGTGGTGAGCCGCTTCTGCTGTTTCTGCAGACTATGGTTGCCATTACAAGATGACGCTGGCTCCGCTGTGGTCTGTGACAAACAACTCCTTATCTGGGAGAGTTGGCACATGATTTTTCACCACCCTGTGAGAAAGCTCCACGCGGCAGCTTTGCATTGGGGCTTGGGATGCTTTATTAAGGCTGGGAGGGGCATCCGAGAGAGAGAAGAAGAAATATCAAGGGCCTGAATAAACTGCTGAAAGAAGATTCTCGAGTTGCGTCTTCCTTGCGGGCAAGGGGTCGCGACAACAAAAGTCACATCTCTCATATTAACATCTGAGCGTTCTTCTAGTCCTCCTCCCTTCTTCCTAGATATCCAGTCTTATATATACTGCCAAGCAATAGAGGGTATATAAGTCAGTGTTATATCTGATTGGCAGGGAAGGCAATTTCTAGAGTTCCTTAACCAAGTGAAAAGGAGAAAATGTACCTAGCAGCAGCAGAGGGTTTACTTACTGTACTAAGACAAATAGAAATTACTTTCATGTATCATATCACAAGACGTACAGGCTATCTATTGGAATGCAGACACTTTTCTAAAAGACAAAAGATGTGTATCTGTAAGCCAAGAGATACTGTGAGAAGCTCACAGAGTCAACAAAACTGGGGTCTTCCCAGTGATTCCTTCTCAGTAACCTCTGCAGGATTCCCTTCTTGGAAAGATTTCTAAGAAGATTCCTCCCAAAGTGACCACAGACCAAAAGATGCTAATAAATAATAATGTGAGGTTCTAATGTCATTTGGCAGATGGTCAATGACTCAACTTGTGCAATTCCCTCTGTTTGCTCTTTTTGTCTCTAATTCCACAGCCTTATCTGGGCCTCACTGTTACCAAGAGAACTGCCTCCTACCTCAACCTCTTCCATCTCTCCCCAGTCTAAAATGCCAGTTTGATTGTCCTAAGTCTGTTTAAAATAACCAAGTAGCTGGCTCTCTGCTGCCTTCAATATGAATTCTCTAGCTTCCTATATGGGTACTAGACTCTCTACACCCTCAGGTCTTTTGGGTCTTCTACCCAACACTCATTCCTATTAAACAGCTTGCCCTTGCCTACCTGGAACTAACTCCCTCTCTTCTTCCTCCAAGATATAACTGAAGAACCATCTCTTCTCTGAATCCTTTACCAAAATCTGCCTCCAAGTACATCTTCAAGGTAAGAACTGCACATAGCATCTTACCATGTGTCTGCCACATGATAAGATGGCAAATATTCAACAAATAAATGATTGGATACATGAAATAATAAATTATTTAAAACTAAATAGATTTTTTTTCCAAACAGAGAACCAAATATTTGGCAAGAAAGATGAACATAGAAGACAACAAAAATCTGCTCAATTACTGCATTTAACTGTCTCCCTTTCTAGAATGTGATCATAACAAAATCCAAGCACAAGGGTCCTAAATCATAGGGTATGTCTTGTCACTTTTACATATAAGACCTTTGATAGCCCATCACTGTTTCCTAAATTAATAGCAAGCTATTCATGTTAGTGTTAAAAAAGTTTTACAAAAACAAAATTAAAAATAAACATGACTCTTTACAATATAAAAGTAACACATTTATCTTTACTGAGTCAGACTTGACAACTCCACTCACAGAACCCATCTCTTACGAAAATTCCTACCTTTGTTTCATCTCCTTCACATTAAATGTCTCCCACTCAAGCCAATTTAAGTGTCATCTCTTTCCTAAGTTGGTTCAACAAGAAGCTGCCTCTCCCTCCACAACTCCACTAGCATCTTTTTGATGGCGATCACATCCCAGCTTATGGCAGGGTTGTACAGTTGCCTCATCCTCTTCCTGAACCTCATGCTTCTACAGGTCAGAAGCCATATTTTAATCTCTCTCTATAGACAAGCCTTGTTCCAATGAATACCCAACAAAAGTCTACCAAATGTAACTGAAACAAAATTGCCAAATTACTTGCAAAGTGATAGCCTGTATCCTGCAATACAACAGAGCTTGGGTGGACCTTGAGTCAAAAAAAAAAAAAAAAAAAAGAGGAGAAAGGAAGGAAAGAAAGGTAACCTAGAGGGAAAGAGGAAAGTGCATATACTCTAAATCTAGTTTCAATGTAGGTATCAGAAAGACTACATAGACAATATACTGATTTTTTTTTAGTGGCAAGCAGATGCACATATATCCAGACTATGAAATAAAGACATTCACTGTTTTTCACAGAAGGCCAGTGCTTAAAGATAATGCTGAGACAGATGGCCCTAAGATCATCCCTCTGCTACTATTTGGAGAACTATAGGTACATATAATATGAAGAAGCTGATTTAATCATCAGATACCCAAGTAATATCTCCTGCCTCAATGTAACCCAAAATCTGACATTTTTAAGATTGCTGTACTGCCTAAAATTCTATCAACCACTGGATTTACACAGGTGCAAATATATCATCTTCTTAAATGTGTATTTTCTATCCAGCAATGGTCATTATCTAGTTTCAGACCAATCTCTCTACTGAAAAAAAAATGGGTAAAACATAAAAAGCCTCAAATTTTATGCTCAAAAAGTATTGAAGACTTGATGTACCTTAACTTGGAAAAGAAAGCCCAAAGGGATGAGTCCAACATTTGACATCTTTTGTCTCCTTCAGGCAGTTGCCAATAGAAAAGTAGTGTCTGAAATGCTGAGAGGTTGAGCAGAAGACAGCAGAAAGGCTGAAAAGCTGAGAAGAGATTTTATATAACATTTAACAGTAAAGTAACAAAAACTGGAATTTGAGGTCAGTTGAAGAGAAATCCTAATGAACACAGATTTTCATTTAGGATACTAAAAGACTCTATTCTAAAATAAGTAGTAAATTGAAGAACATTAGTTCTCAAAGGACTGGAGCACAGCTTTGAGTTACTTACACCCCTAACTGAATTGAGGTGATTTTCTCCTAATATAGATATTTGTTCCCTGTCAAAAACAAAGGAAATCTCTAGAGGAAAATCACACCACATCCAGAGCCTCAAATCATCTCTAAAACTTTATATATGCAGTATCTACCATTCAATCAAAAATAAACAGGCATATGAAATGATAAGAACTGACTTTGAAAACCTAGGAAAAGAGCATCACATAAACAGACACAAGAAGTTAATTGAAATTATCAAAAAATAAATTTAAACTGTGATTAGTACCTTCAAAAAACAAAAGTACAAGATAGATAACTTAAATAGAGAATGGATAAATTTTTAAATGATCAAATATAAATTCCCATTAGATTATAAAATAAAATAATTAAAGTTAATAATTCAGTCTGCTAAAGGGAAGATTAATGAATTGGTACACAGGACATCTATATAACTTTCAAAAGTCAGCAATATTTTCTACTGTTAGAAGTCAGGATAGTGGGTACCTTTAGGAAGAAGAGTCCCCCCTTCTTCCCATAGTGCTAGGAGAAGAAGAAGGGGGTTTCTGGGATGCTAATAGTGTTCTACTTTTGACTTATGTAGTATTCCCAGGGGTCTCTTTGTGATAAGTTATCGGGTTGTACTCTTATGTATCACTTATCAGGGATGCTTTACTATTTTATAAGTGTTTACTTAATATAAAATCTTGTATTTATATTTTGTCTTTAATAAAAAATTGTATTTATTAATACATTTACTGTTATAATAAGTTACATGGGCTAACTCTCAATCATACTTCAGTGCAAATTCATTGAACTGGTTTGTTTTTCTCCTAACATCCATTTGAGATGAACTGTACTGAGTGAATGACAATTTTTACTAAGGACAAACAAGAATAAAATTTTGTGTTCTAAAGGACAAAATAAATAAACATATTTAGAATGTTGAGACATAATTTGTAAATTGACAATGACTTATGACAACTTCTTTGAAGAAGACAATGTTAGAGCAAGTCAAATGAAATGTCAATTCAAGAATTAATAGTCAAAGCCATCCACAAGACACATTGATATTTAATATTTTCCATAACTTAGCCTAATTAGGTAAGAATTGTGCTGAAATCCATAATTTTAGCATCCAAAATTATGACTTACAGCTAAGATTCTCCAACAGCACTTCTGACTATTCTAAAACTCTGCTAGAGCCAAGTTGATTGAATATATTTCTCAGGACCAGAGGGTTTCATTTTAGGGAAAGACTAAGCTCTTGCAAACCACCACTCCTACAGATAACAAAATGAGCTCCGGGCAAAACACAAGCAACAACAGTCTACATTGGGGACTTCAGAGAATGAAGAATAGCCAGCAGTCTGTGGAGAAGTATGAAAACAGCGAGGAAGACCAGAGCAACCGTGGAGTTGCCCTTTCTATGGGCATTGCTTTAAGGAAAAGTCATGCAGCATGAGTGGGTGAAAACATGTTGAAAATGCACCAACTTTCTGACTTAAAGACACAGTGATGGGGCCTATAGCAAGCCTCCAGTGTGAGAGGATAAATGCCAAGAAAGGTAGATTTGGAAAAAGGACCTCCCAACTTCTAGGTAAACTACTCTGCGTCTCTAAGGACTCCCACACTGAGCAAGGAAAGGCCAGATTATAGGCTTGCCAGGTAAAAATGAAAGAGCTGAAGGTTTATTTGAACTACTCCTTTCCACAGGTGAGAGAATTTTTAGCTAGCCTCTAACCAAGATAATTGTCTACTTTAGAAAATTAATACTTTTCATAAAATTATAACAATCCAGAATCTTCACAGCAAAACATTCATGTCATTCAGGACACAAGCCCAAATCATTCAATATATGACAAGTAGAAAACCATGATCCATTCTCAAAGGAAGAACAATCAATAAAGTTTAATCCCAAGTTCACTCTGAATGTTGCAAAGGCAAACAAGAATAAAATTTTGTGTTCTAAAGGACATAAATAAATATATATTTTAATTTTGTGTTCTAAAGGACATAAATAAATAAACATATTTAGAATGTTGAGACATAATTTGTAAATTGACAATGACTTATAACAACATTATAAGTGCCCCCTTAGCCATGGTTTTACTTTCCAAGGTTTCAACGACCCTTAGTCAATCACAGCCCGAAAATATTAAATAGAAAATTCCTGAAATAAAAAAATGCATACATTTTAAATTGTATACCATTCTGGGTACCATGATATAATTTTACATAGTCCTTCCTCCTTCCACCAGGCATGGGAATCATCCCATTTTCTACTGTATCCACTGTGAATGTTACCCACTCCAAAGTCACTTTGTCTTGGTTATCAGATCATTTGAGGTGGTATTGCATTGCTTATGTTCAAGTAATCATTATTATATAGTAATTCATTGCTATGTGACAGTACCTAGGCAATTCACCTCATGTCATCTCATCCCATGGGCATTGTATCATCTCACATCAGGACAAGAAGAAGGCTATATACAGTGCAATAAGAAATTTTGAGAGACAGCACACTGACATAACTTTATTACAGTATATTTTTATAATTATTCTATTACATTATTAGTTATTATTATTAATTTCTTACTGTGTCTGATTTAGAAATTAAACTTTATCAGAGTTGGATGTGGTAGTGCACACCAATTATAACCCCAGTTACTCAGGAGGCTAAGGTAAGTCTAGCCTAGAAAAAATAGCAAGTACCAATCTCAAAACAAAAACAACAAAAACCCCTTTATCATAGGAACACATCTATAGCTAAATGCATAGAACATAACAGAAATATCAATGGTTTCAGGTATCCACTCAGGGTCTTAGAATATTTCTCCTGCAGCTAAGGAAAATAAAAATAAAGACTATAAAGTGGCTTTTATAACTATGCTCCATATAATAAACAAAAATGCACTCACAAAATATTAAAAGAAATTCTTAACAAGGAAATCAAAAACTGCCAAAACATGGCAATTCTAGAACTGAAAATACAATATTCAAATTTTCTTTTAAATCACAGGAGGGGCTTGTTAGCAGAATACAGAATACGAAGACATTTTCAGATAAAAGATAAAAGAACCTGTTACCAGCAAGTCTGTACTTTAAAAAGTGCTAAATTAAGAAGTTCAGTCTGCAAGAAAATCAGGCTAAAAGGAAATTATTAGAAAGCATCAAAAATAGTAAGCATCTGGGGAAATTTACTATTTTTTTCTATACACATACTATACAGGCACTGAGACATTTACAATTTCAGAATTTTAGGACTGCAGAGACATTAAGGTGATGTATTACCAGCACCTCATATTTTCAGAGGAAATGTCTGAGGCTCAGAAAGGTAGTGCTTAAGGCCATAAAAGCAAGCAGATGTCTCCAAGACAACCTGGCATATAGACTCTCCTTATGCTACTTTAATCCCTCAACACCAGCTCCAAGACACATTGCAGGTCCAGCGCCCATCAGGAACTCTTCACAGTCTCAACTTCTCTTTGCTTCTGTTTCTTAATCTGTAAATGGGCTTTAAAATGGCACCTTCCTGGCAAGGTTCTCATGAGCGTTTAAAGTCAAAACAGAACCAGTTCTTTGAACACTGCCTTGAACACAGAAGATGCAATATTGCACCCAACCATGTTAACACTGCCTGTCTGCATTTTCCAAAGCCTGCTACTTCTTCCTGCTGGCTTGTTTCAAGAGAAGAAACAAAGGGTCAAAGTGGAATACTGTTTATCTGTGCTCCATGAAGTTTAAATATGCTGTGTTTAAAATTTTTTTCAACTAAAAGTGTTTGTAAATTTTCCTGTGATTTCTTCTTAACCCATGAGTTGTTCAAAGACGGCAATGATAGACTGGAGGTTTGACTTGCTCTGGCTCCACTGACTATGGCCCCATCTTGGCCTGAGAACACCTGAGTGAGAATGTGAGAACAGCAAGAGCCATTTCCAGCTCTGGAACCCTTACCACAGGCAGGCAGCCATTAGCAAGAAAAGTAAAGTGCAGCTTTACTTTTGTCCAAGCCCAAGATAAATGCCAAAGTAAAAAAGAAAAAAAAAATGGAATTTAGAAAACACAGTATTTCAGTAGTCCATCACTGATCACATAAGAAAGTTCAAGATCGCCACAAAAGCTGTCACTTTACTAAGCATTATTGCCTAAGGACCCATAAAATTTTCTGTATTCTTTATTTTTCAAGTCTGTTAATCATAGCACAATTCACACCCCAATTTGAACTGACCTAGACAGCAAGAATTTTAAAATAAAGCAAGGCTTGCTGGGCATGGTGGTGCATGCAGTAATTCCAGCTACTCTGGAAGACGAGGCAAGAGGATCACAAACTTGAGACCAGTCTGAGCAACTTAGCAAGACCCTGTCTGAAAATAAAAAAAGTAAAAAGGACTGGAGATACTGTCCAGTGGTAGAGTACCCCTGGATTTAATCCCCAATACTGAAAAAATAATAATAACAAATCAAGTTTTATAACAAACTGTATAACGAGAGACTAATGTAATTTGTAATTAAGCTTGAAGGCAATGATATACTTACATTCCCTGTGAACCAAGTAAGCAGAATATGTAAAATAAAAGTGTATCAGGGGGATGGGGTGGCATTTCATTTTACAACAGATTTCTTAGACACAGAAGACCAGAACATTCATGAGTTTGCTCCATAATTTTATTTAAAGTCAGGGTTGTTGCTGAGGCTACCAGTCTGCTTACCATTTCTTCAACATAAGGGTAAAGCATGTCTCCAAAGTATTCTGTAGCTTCAATTGGAAGTTGTGCTGGCAAATTGTCAATAGAACACATCAGAATCCCAGAGCCTTCAACACTAGGAAAAGCAATATGCTTTATTCAGATGTACAAAACATTATTAGTAAGCTCTAACTTCTCCTGATGTCTCCTCCACTATATTTGCTTCATTAGTTTTCATAATTCTGTACAAAATATATAATAATATAAACAAAACCTTTTTTTCTTTAGCAACCCATCTCCCACTTAAATATAGTATATGTGTATTGAAGTATTCAAATTTGCATGTGGTTTTTCTATAAAAAATTTTAACATGATTAAGCATCTCTTTCCAAATACATATGCCTTTATAAAGAAGTAAAACTGAGTACTTCAGACTCATATATCAAGGTAAGGAAGTGATGTATTATTATGCATCATTCACCATCTAACTGCTTTAACAAACTTACCTATCATGAATAATATGCTGGTCAGCGTCATACATGCAAAAAGGATGCTCTATTGTAGTACACTCCGTCATGAAATCTATAGATCCTCCTGTGTCCGCTGAAATGTCACATATTGCCACAAGTCTGAAATCAATATCAGTACTTAGATAAGAGGATGGAATTCTGAAGCTTCCAACAAGACTAACAATGAATTACAATGAAAGATGCTTAGAACAATGTTCCATGTGGGTGCCAAATATTTTCCAGGCACTTGGGCTCTTTTTCTTATAGTTCAGTCTTTAAGACACTGTGAGGATCTGAGATATAAGAATCATCCCAGTATACAGTTTAGTCTTTACAAGAAAAAAAATAAAGGAATGGAAGGAGAGAAGAATAAAGGGAAGGAGTGAAAACTAAATAAAATTGGAAAATACCTTCCCTAGAAAAATCATTGACAGCAGACTGGTTATAGTTAAACCAGTTAATCATCTCTAAATAACTGGTAAAGTTTCAATTGCACTATTTCCACTTACTTAGTGCAACGGGCCCTCTACATCATGAATTCCACATCTGTAAATCCAAACAAGACTCAAAAAAATAATTGAAAAGAAAATTATACCTCTGCTCATCATGTACAAATATCTTTCCTTGTCATTATTCACCAAACAATTCAGCAAACAATGATATGGTTCAGTCTTTAAGACACTGTGCTATTACATAGCATTTTAATTGTATTAGGTAGTATAAGTGATCTAGAGATGATTTAAGTGTACAGGAGATATGCATAGGTTATATGCAAGCATTCACTATTTATATAAGAGACTTGAGTGTCTGCAGATAGTGGTTTTCACAGAGTTCTAGAAAAAAATTCTCTCTAGATACAAATGAGTATACTATGTGATTTTACATGTAATTACATGGAAATCTAGGATTGTGAACAAAAGTTTCAACCCAATATTTGAAAGCCTTTAGAGGTTGGTAGTAATTTTTCTATTCAATCTTTAATTACCACATGCCTACATAAATACTATGGATAGACTGTCCCACTCAGTATCTTAAATTATACATTAGCTCCATATTTACCAAGCTTCAATTGGAAGTTGTGCTGGCAAATTGTCAATAGAACACATTATTACTTGAAATTCTCCTTTTTCTCATTTCTCCCCAGCAAGGCTTTGCTGGGCCCAGTGTGTTAGCCACAAGACAGGTACTGTTAGGGACACTATGCTTACAAGGGCCTGGAGGGCTGCTGCCCCTTTAAATGACTGTTAACACGACTTCAAAGTTGTTTTTTATTTCTTTGTTTGCTTCAGATAAAATCCTTCAGACAAAATTCCAAGGAACCAGCCAAAATTGCCAAATCATGCTGACCCATGCATTTTAGGTGACCTAAACTTTGTTCGTTTTAATATTAGCTTCTCTGCCCAGAGGCATTCCCATTATCTTTTGAACATGTCATGTAGGAAGAAGCATGGCTTCAAACTGAGTATGCTTCTACATATGATGATGACAACTCTTTCCTATATGAATATGCATGAATTTCAAAAAAAAAAATGTCTCTTGCTTTCTTGGCTCAGAGAATTATTCCCAATGTTCTCCTTACTAACTGCAGGTAAGAAACTTTTCTTCACTCTCTATCTCCTGGTTGTGCTTGTGGGCTTTGCACTCAAAGGGAAAACCCTTGTGTTTGGTTACTAGTGCTCCCACTTTCTTTAAACACCCCTGATATTGTTGCTCCTACCATTCCCTAGCCATTTGCCTGATATCAGCTGCATACCTGAGAGCAGCAAATGTTGTTTTACTCTTATCTATCCCTTAGTTTAGCAGAGTGCTAACAGACAAGTTGTTTGACAAATATTGGTTGATTGATTGATTCGTTCAACATTTAATAATTATTTGAATGCCTATTCTATATCAGGCAATGTACCCAGTGCTTGTGGCCATGATAAATGATACCTATCTTTAAGGAAATGAAGTTCTAATAGGAAAAAGAAAATTTTAAACACAAGAAAATAAATAATCATGAATTTAGGAGGGAAAAGGAAGAAAAAATGAGAGAGATGGGAATGGGATGCAAGAGAAGACTTCTGAGGAGGTTCCTCAAGATCCCTATGGAATTGCAGGAGTCAGAAGAAAGGTTTAAGGAGGGAGGGTTAACTGTGCCATATGTTGCTAAGACGGCAAGTCAGTCATAAACAACCAAGTTCTCTGATATGTAGGAACATTATAAGTTTGACTTCCCTAACAATGTATGCTGCTACTAAAAACTTCCATTAGTGCTGAAATAAAATTCTTACCTGTGAGGTAAGGCAGGGCAGCCTTCAACAGCAACAACTGAGGACTTGACTGGAGCCAAGAGACTTTGAGCATCGTGGCGGGTTAATAGGCGAGGAGTGTTTTGTTCCCAGTAGATTCCATTAATTAAACAAGTTGTATAAGGTGCAATCTGTAAAGTTCACATTCAACAAAACAGGAGATAGCCTATTTTAATACCCTGTGCTACCTATCAATAAAACCCCACAGAAACAATATTACTTCTAATGAATATAGCTACCTTTTGAAGCAAAGATAAAAATACCTTCCCAGATTTCAAAATATAATTACCCTCATTAGGGAAGAAAATATGAACATAATAATTACTCTAATAGGGTTGGGGTTGTGGCTCAGTGGTACAGCCTGGCATGCATGAGGCACTGGGTTCAAACCCAGCACCACATAAAATAAACTAAATAAACAAAATAAAGGTATTGTGTTCATCTACAACTAAAAATATTTTTTAAATAAATATACTAATGTTTGTGTCTATTGCATAGCAAAGAAGAGAGAATCAAATAACCTAAGATACCAGTAAGGTGTGACCTAAATCATACTACTTCAACTTTACTGAGATGTTTTACTTACCTGCTAGATGGGGATAATGTACACCCTATTCCTCAAAAGAATGCTATGATGATCAAATCAGATAACTTCTGGAAGCTCCATTGAGAAATGTACTGCATAAACATGGTAACCAAGTCACTACCAGTCTCATATGACATCCAATCACCATACCTCCATGCCAGGGGATATGAATGGGGGGAAATTTACTAGATTCAAAATTTTTCAGCTCAAAATTAGTTTCATACATTTTTGCACGAAACTTAAGCATCTCAATCAGAAGGTAAACAGATATAACATCAGTCCATGCTGTACTACTTAAATTTCATACCAGAATCAAACATTGTAAATTATGTAGAGCATTCTTTTCACAATATACATATACATTTTAGTGTGCTTAATTTTTCATTTGTTAGTTTATTTTTAAGAGGATTTTTGCATGACTAATGACTATAAAACACACAAATAAATTTTATTTCTTAAGCTAGGTGTGGTAGTGAATGCCTTTAATTCCAGCAACTCGGGAGGCTGAGGCAGGAAGATTGCAAGTTCAAGGCCAATCTCTGCAACTGAGTGAGGCTCTGTCTCAAAATAAAAAAGAGTTTGGGATGTGACTCAGTGGTTAAGCACTTCTGGGTTCAATCCCCATACCCAAAATGAATAGATAAATAAATAAATAGTGGTTTTTAGAAGGTGAGAAAAGTGTGTCCCATCAGAAGGACTTGTTGTGTAAGCAGCTCTCTTGTACAATGATTATGTAGCCAAACTATCTCCCCCTGACCCCTTGTAAGCATCACGTGCATTTTAAGATGACTGGCTACTATGGTTTGGATGTAGAGTGTCCCTGAAGTTAAAAGCTTATTCTTAGCCCATGACACTAGTTGGAGGGGAATAGAACTTTTTAGAGGTAGAGCCTGGTCTTCAGGTCCCTGGGACTGTGCCCTCAAAGGGAATATGAAGAATTTGGTGTCTTCTGCCTTCTCTTTCCCTCTTTCTTTTCCAATTCGAGATGTTAGTGCTCACTCTGACATGTGTTTCTACCATTGTCTCCTGTCATTTGTCCTCACTTGAAGCCAAAGCAATTGGGGTTGCCCTATCTTGGGCTTAAACCATCAAAACTGTGAGCTAAATAAATCTTTCCTCTTTTAAAGTAAGTCGACTCAAGTATTTTTTGTAGTAATACAAAGCTAACTAATACCCCCCCCAAAAAAAAAGAAAGAAAGAAAGAACAAAGGATACTGTGAGTAGTAAGTGTTATTATAACTATATCTAGATATATTTAGGAAGCTCTGGGACTGATTGACTGGCAGAGGTTGAAAGAGTTTGGAAGAGCAAGCTAGAAAAAGTCTAGAATGCTCTCCAAGTGGAACATTATGGGGCCATGGTGGCTTCCACTGAGATTTCAAAGGAAAGCCTGGAAACTAGACAAAAGTTTCATGTAGGGCTGAAGTCTCTGTGGGGACTATTGATAAGATGATGCTTATTGGAATTGTGGGAATGGAGTCAAAGAGAGGACCCCAGAAGGATAGAGCAACCCAAAGTGTGCAACAGCTGCTAGGGAAAGCTTCGAGCAGCATGCCATATAAGCCATGGAGAGCTGCAGACATCAGTGTGCAGTCCATGAATACAGCCATGTGGGGCAACAAAGCCAGCTGGGTAGAGCTGCCCAAGGCCTTAGGGGCCCAACTCAGGCCCCAGTGTGCCTGCCATGCTGGACTGGAGGTTTAGGATTTAATATCTGCCTGCTGGATTTCACTTACTTTGGGTGAATTATCCCTTTTCACTTGCCTGTTCCCTGCTTTTGGAATAGAAGTTATACTCCATGCCTGTCCTGCCATTTTATCTTTGAAATATATAGCTGGAGGAGTTTGCCTTTTGTTCCAGATGAGCCTTGGGAATCTTTGAATTAATGCTGGCTGACTTAAGCCTCTGGGACCATTGGGGATGGAATGCTTTATGTTGAATGTGAGGACATGAGTTTGAGCAGACCAGAGATAAAATGCTATGGTTTAAACATGGTTTGTTCCTCTGAACTCATGCAGAAGTGTGACCTCCAATGTTTTATATTAATGGTTTTTAGAGAGTGGAAACTGAATCCATCCATGGTGTTTATAAGTGGAGCCTTTAGCAATTGAGTAGATTGGATTAGGCCAACAGGGTGGAGCCCCCCAAATTAATTCTTGGTGGTATTATAGGAGAGGGAAAGCGGCTGCATGGAGAGTGGGACACATGCTCTCCCACCACAACATGATACAGCCAAGGGGGACCACCACCAGAATGTAAGCCATGCTGTTTGGTCTGCCAGACTACAAATCTGTGCTTAATAAGCCACTCTTCTTTATAAAATTACTCTGTCCTTGGTGTTTTTTAAATAGCAATGGAAAGTTAATACACCAGCTGAGTTTATGATTGCAATTTGTGGCCAGAGAAAGGATAAACCCATGTTAGATCAAACCTCATAGACATTGTACTTTGCCAAAAGCACTAACTAATCCAGGATTATACAGAGTCAACAATCCATAGAAAATAGTTTAGAGCTTTTGGGCACAGGCAGACTCAACGTAGAAACAGATATCAAACCAAAGAACATACCCACAGAAACCCCAAAACCACTAAGGAAGGGCCACTCCAAATACCAGTAAAAGCCAGCAACTCCTAAGACCAACTCATGATTCACAAAGGACTCCCAGCTAGCGATATGAAGAAGTGAAAACCCATGTGCATGTTTATAATTTCTCTCCTTGAAAAGAGCCTAACTACAGTGCACCATAAGCAGTGACTCCCAAGCTGAATGTGATACTCACATCAGTATTAAAACGACTTATGTACCGCTCAGGATGTTTGTCATACTCTACAGGGTCATACACACCATCTGTTTTCCTGACAAGATGATGATGTCGACTTAACACCGTCCCATACACTTTCCTGAGGTCTTGCAGAGGAAAAAGAAATTAACAAACTGGGTGACAAATGATAATGATGCATGGTGATAAAAACACTATAACACAGATACTGTAAAATGGTACAGACAGTCTTCCCCCTCCCCTTACCTCCAGTTTGGGAAACTTCCTTTAATTCATGGGGCTCCACATATTCACAGGGCAGTTCATTAAAGATTTCTTGGGCTCCCTGTAAAAAATGTTTCAAGTAAACATCTAAAAATCAATTTTAAAAAAGAGCCAAAGCAGTTTCCGGTAAAGATTCCAATTGTTTTCCCCACAATTTTATAACTGAACTTGCCTGGCCCTGCAACCATAGCTGCAGCATAGAAGTACAGATGAACTTCTTGCACACAGCCTGCAAACCAGCTTTATTCCAGTTTTTAAAAGCATGCATTAGAAGGGGCTTTAGACTTTTTTTTTTCACTAAAGTTACTCAGAAAAGCAACAATAGTGTTTAGAAATATAGATACAATACAATATATCTATTTCTTTTTTTATTCATTGCAGAAGAAAAAATTAGATGGCTACCTCACAATATAATAGTAGCAGAGATGTCCTCTTTGTAAGATATTTTCATTAAAGGTCTATTTTTCAATCATAAGTTTCTGAGGGAGATTACAAATGTATTCTAAAACCACCTCAAGAGGAAGTATTAAATACTTTCTTGAATTACTCTAATATCTTACTGGCAAAACTCCAAGTAGTCTTGAAAAATGTATATACTGGAGTTACTTCCAAACTTTTGGACATGTCAGTGATGAAGGAAAACTAAATCACCCTAAGAACAATGTTACATACTTCACAATTAGTATCTCAAGAAAGACAGAAACAGAGAAAGGAAGAAAGGGAGGGGGAAATGGAGGAGGAGAAAGAAAGGAGAGAAAGAGAAATAAAGAGTATTTCAAACCTCTGATAGAGCAGAATTCACCAAAAGCAAAGAAAATGTTTGGACCATTATTGTTCTTTGCTATAAGAAAAATTTGTAGTTAATTAAAATACTGAAGATAGAATGTCCATTCTCTATTGGAAACAGGCACAGAATGGCCCAACTTCATGTCTCCAATTGCTTTACAGAAGGAAGACACATGAAATTTACCTTGGATACATTACCAGTCCCTGTGAATACAAATGTTAAGGGCCCTATCGACTTTGGCATTAAACCCAGAGATATTTCATAGCCAGCATCACGGACAGCTTGCACAGCCTGGCTGCTATTCCTGTAGTTATGAGCCATGCCAAGATGCTGAAAGCAAGCACACACGATTCAAGTTAGTCTAGTAGCTGACATATTTTTCTATTCTTAAAGTGTTATGTATGCTTTCAAAAAAAAAATAAACAAAAGAAATATCTCTCACCATAAAAGGTGTGTGATGTCCCAAAGCAAGGAGCCTTAAACCCATTCCATGTAAAATGTTGATCATCCCTATTGCAGAGTCAGACCAACAGAAAGACAATTAATGAGTGACGTTGAATATCAATGTACAAAATAAATTCTACTCTTAGGCATTAATCAAGAGAAAGTACAAATTTTTCTCTTTGCCCATTTGTCCATGTGCTCAGTGCCTGGGGAAGCATAAACATAGTAGCTCAGATTCAGAAGGGGCTTCAGTAGATCTTATCCATTTCTTCAGCTTTCTGCCATCCAATGTCCTAACCCAGTAGCATCATTTATCCCTTTTACTGTTGATCCTGGTAAAGTGGAGTATCCTCTTCTCACCTAGAGTTAATCTCTCCTTGACGAAAGATCCCATCCCTTCCCTTCTTCCCAGGGAATTTACTCTTGAACCACTCCCTTATCTTGAACCACTACCTATTCCTCTCTACCAGTTCATTCTTTTTTTTTAATTTATTCTTTTTACTTATATATAACACCAGGATATGCCCTGAAATAATCATAAAAGCATGGAACCCAACACACTCCAATTCAGTCCCTAGTGTTTCCCCCACCTTATCCTTAAGCACCCTCCCTCAAACCCACCATCCCTCTTCAAACCATTTACAGTTTACTTTTTTGTTGTTGTTATCAAATTCATGTCCTGTGGACACACTCAATGCCAGGACCCACCATGCTGTGTCCTTGCATGCTCATAAGAAAGTTCGATCATATTCGATCCATTCTTCTTCCCTTTTCCTGTCCCTTCTTCCTCCTCCTCAATCCCCTTTGTCTACTCCACTAATCTTTCCTCTATTTTGATGAATTCCCTCTCTACTGGTTCATTCTTATCAACATGTAAACATGCTCCCATCTCTCCCATACCAAAATCAAAGTTGTCATTGACCCTAGGGCTCCCACCAGCTGTTTAATAACCTAAATCACTAAATTTGGTAGGCACTTTTCAGATCTCTCAACTTCCTTGCCAGAAGTATTTGGCATTGTAGACCTCCTCTTCAGTCAAACACTCTCTCTCTCTCTCTCTCTCTCTCTCTCTCTCTCTCTCTCTCTCTCTCTCCAGCATTCCTACTTGAAATGTTTCAGCCTGCTTCTTTCTATGCCCATCTTGTCATCCTCAGGATTACATCCTGGGCTCCTCAATAACTATGTTTTCTTCATAAATCTTCTCATCCAGTTCTAAACTTCAAGTACTATCTACTTATCTTATCCAAGTGGATGACCCCAAGTCTGTACCTCCAACGTGAATTTTTCTTTTTAATTTCTCACCTAGCCAGTCATCTTTTGTATGTCTCCATTTGAAATCCTTCAGACACCTAAAACTCAGCAGGCTTGTAGCAAAGACCTCAGCATCCATTCCCCCTTCTTTTTAGGGCTATAACTTTCCCTGCACCACTCCCCAACACACACATATGCACTCACATTCCTACCAAGTTTTCTTCCATCTTTTTTTCTGAAGTCAACTTTTAAAGAAGTAATCTCTACACAATAAAATGCACCAAGTGTATAGTTTGATAATTATTAACAAATATGCTCAACTGTGTTATCACCATAATCAAGGCCCTATTGCTATTTCTGACTATATGCATTAGGTTTTTCTACTGCTTCATATCAATGAAAAAATAAGCACATACTCTTTTGTTGGGTGTCTGCTTTCCCTTGGCATAATAGTTTGAGATCTGTAACAGTATTTTGTTTCTCGTTGTTGCTGAAGTTTTATGTATTATATAATTATTAATGTATTAATCCATTGTCTCTTGACAGACATTTGTGTTATTTCTAGGCTATTCTGGATGGTATCCATATATAAAAATTATTTGTATAAAATGCTGCACTTCTCTTCATAAACACCTACATGTAGAATTTGTACACTGATATTCAACTTTTTTGTTTGTTTGTTTAGTTTTAGTCATGTTTTGTTTTCTTTTGGTGGTTTTAGTAATCTTGATGTTGTTGTTACAATTTGGGGAATCAAAGCCAAGACCAAGTCCTTGCACATGCAGATAGCTCCCACTAATCTGTATCTTTCAAGGATAGATACAAATTATCATCTGTTATCTGTATCTCAAATTTGAGATGAATAATCAACGGAGGTCTCCCCATAACTCCTACAACTCCTTCTATATTATAAAATTTAATTTTGTGTTACTTTAATAGAACTTATTTGTGTGTTGGGTAAGGGAAGAAAAGAAGTGGGAGTTAAAATTGAATACAAATGAATTGGTTTTTAAGTGAAAAGAATGTTATAATTTCAAAATTTGCTTTTTTTTCTTTTTTCTTTTACCATTTCAAAAGCATATGAATTAGGGTATACTAATAGATGACAAAATGAATTTTCTGAAATCATTACTTTTTTAAAGTATATAATCTTCAGAAGTTTTCCAGCATATTTGAGTGAGAATCATTTGAATGAATGACAGAGAATATAATTTATAGAAGCATATCAGGATTCCATTTTACACAATTAAATAATGTACTATTAGACATATTTTTTGAGAAATGCAGTTTAAAAAGAGTTCGACCTCAAGGAGCAAAGACAGACCTGTCCAGATGTAATAGCAGTGACATAAACCACAATGAGAAGTCTTCCATTTTGTATAACAAGGTCAAACAAATATCCAGGTCATGACTTTCCCATTAGATCTTCGAGTAGTCTACTCTGATGGAGTCACAATATCGTGGTGTTTCTCAGCTAAATCTAGTTCAAAGTACTAGCCGGTTTTTGTTACTATTGCTCTGTAATATAGTTTGAAGTCTGGTATCGCTATACCGCCTGATTCACACTTCCTGCTTAGCATTGTTTTTGCTATTCTAGGTCTTTTATTTTTCCATATGAATTTCATGATTGCTTAACAGGCGGGTGGACCAATGGTACAGAATAGAGGACACAGAAACCAATCCACAAAACTACAACTATCTTATATTTGATAAAGGGGCTAAAAGCATGCAATGGAGGAAGGATAGCATCTTCAACAAACGGTGCTGGGAAAACTGGAAATCCATATGCAACAAAATGAAACTGAATCCCTTTCTCTTGCCATGCACAAAAGTTAATTCAAAATGGATCAAGGAGCTTGATATCAAATCAGAGACACGCCGTCTGATAGAAGAAAAAGTTGGCTACGATCTACATACTGTGGGGTCGGGCTCCAAATTCCTCAATAGGACACCCATAGCACAAAAGTTAATAACTAGAATCAACAAATGGGACTTACTCAAACTAAAAAGTTTTTTCTCAGCTAAAGAAACAGTAAGAGAGGTAAATAGAGAGCCTACATCCTGGGAACAAATCTTTACTCCTCACACTTCAGATAGAGTCCTAATATCCAGAGTATACAAAGAACTCAAAAAATTAGACAATAAGAGAACAAACAACCCAATCAACAAATGGGCCAAGGACCTGAACAGACACTTCTCAGAGGAGGACATACAATCAATCAACAAGTACATGAAAAAATGCTCACCATCTCTAGCAGTCAGAGAAATGCAAATCAAAACCACCCTAAGATACCATCTCACTCCAGTAAGATTGGCAGCCATTATGAAGTCAAACAACAACAAGTGCTGGCGAGGATGTGGGAAAAAGGGTACACTTGTACATTGCTGGTGGGACTGCAAATTGGTGCAGCCAATTTGGAAAGCAGTATGGAGATTTCTTGGAAAGCTGGGAATGGAGCCACCATTTGACCCAGCTATTCCCCTTCTTGGTCTATTCCCTAAAGACCTAAAAAGAGCATGCTACAGGGACACTGCTACTTCGATGTTCATAGCAGCTCAATTCACAATAGCAAGACTGTGGAACCAACCCAGATGCCCTTCAATAGACGAATGGATTAAAAAAATGTGGCATTTATACACAATGGAGTATTACTCTGCATTAAAAAATGACAAAATCATAGAATTTGCAGGGAAATGGATGGCATTAGAGCAGATTATGCTAAGTGAAGCTAGCCAATCCCTAAAAAACAAATGCCAAATGTCTTCTTTGATATAAGGAGAGTAACTAAGAACAGAGTAGGGACGAAGAGCATGAGAAGAAGATTAACATTAAACAGAGATGAGAGGTGGGAGGGAAAGGGAGAGAAAAGGGAAATTGCATGGAAATGGAAGGAGACCCTCAGGGTTATACAATAGAACATACAAGAGGAAATGAGGGGAAAGGGAAAAATAATACAAGGGGGAGAAATGAAGGTCAGTAGAGGGGGTAGAGAGAGAAGAGGGGTGGGGAGGGGAGGGGAGGGGGGATAGTAGAGGATAGGAAAGGTAGCAGAACATGACAGTCACTAGTATGGCAATATGTAAATCAATGGATGTGTAATTGATGTGATTCTGCAATCTGTATATGGGCTAAAAATGGGAGTTCATAACCCACTTGAAGCAAAGTGTGAAAGATGATATATCAAGAACTATGTAATGTTTTGAACAACCAACAATAAAAAAAATAAATTAAAAAAAAGTACTAGCCGGGATAAAAGTCAAGCAGAAGTTTGTCCCAGACTCCAGCTCTCATCCTTTCTAGGAAGCTCCTCTGTTGGTTCATGCCCCTGTACCTTTTTTTCTCCTTATTCTTTTCCCCTATTTTCTACTTCCCAATGTCCCATCACCAAATTGAGCTCTTCAAACAGGTCTAAAATGTCCCAGTCTGTTCACGGGTGTTATCCTTCCCCTGCTTTCTTTTCCAACATTCATAATAAAATATTTTAATGATCTATCTTCTTCCCAATTCCTCCAATATTCACCAGCCTTCAGCATACTCCCATTTTAATTTTGTCAGTGAAAATAAACACTCACATTCCCTTTTCACAGAAAAGGGAAAACACAGTTACTGGCACTCAGGCAATTTAGAAAGTGACATAAAAGCCTGGCACCTACCTGCCACACCGGCCCACTGTCCAAATGCCACTATTCGTATCCCTCTATGATCCACCATTTTTTCATAATCAATAAGTCGGATTTCCTGAAGAAAGGGTAAAAAATTTCTCAACCAGACCTATTAAGTTCAATTGAAATGAGTAAAGTACATATATGAACAAGTATTCTCCATGTTTCTTCTTTCAAAATATGTCTTGACTTGCTAACCTAAATTTCCATGAAGTGCACCATGAAATATTTAGAAAAGGTTAGCTCAAAAAGCTAGCTGTAGGTTTACAATTGGAGATGAAAGAATAGTCCTAGAGGTTGCTAAATGGCCTTGTTGCTGGGCAATGAGATAACCAAAACAGGATTTTCTGTTTTTGACAAACATACAGCCCAATCCAACCAGCACCATCTATAAATAAATTTACAGCCCCAATTCATCCTCCCATTCTTCCTTATGGTCTCAAAGAAAATGAATCCCTCCTGAGACCCATTACTGTGAGCCAATCTCAAGTTTTTTCTGAATCTTCAAAGACCACACTTCTTAAATTATCATTACCTTTTTCCAGCATCATTCCTTTTTATTAGAATGACTGCTCCGCAGTTATTCTAAATACTCCCAGGTCTCTTCTACCTGAAAAGTAATAAGAATGACCCCTCCCAAGTTCATACACAACTGTGTCTCTCTTCCTTCCTCCCTTTCCTCCTCTCCTCATTCTTTCTTTTTCTACCCTTTTACCGGTAAGCTTCATTTAAGAAGTTGAGCATTGTCTCAAAATAAAGTCGTTTTCTTGGGGGTGTGGGGCTGAATGCATGCTGGGGATGGAGTTCAGTGATAGAGCATTTGCCTAGCATGCGCAAAGCCCTAGGTTCAATTTCTGCACCACAATAATGAATTAATTGTTAATTAAGTAGTGCATACTGCCTGTATATCTTTTCTCACCTTTTCTAAAAAGCTATTCTTCCACTTTCCTTGGGATCTTCCAACTCTGTGGAAAAGACTTTTTAATGTATGCTTAAAAGCTATTGATCCATTCTAATCATAGAATGTTTTGAACACTTATTTTATTTTCTCAAACATCAAATGATTTAATAGTTGGAGTTATAGCTCAGTGGCCAAACACAGAGACAAAGCACACTTATCTAGCATGCATAGACCCTGAGTTCCACTCATATCACTGAAAAAAAACATATAATTTTAATTATGTCTATATATTTAAGAACATTTTACATGCATCCAACTCTAACTGGTTACAAAGGACTGCCAAAAAGTAGCCCTGCTGGTTCTGTTTTTATTATTTTTTTTTGTAATGAACAAAAGTCTTATAACAGAAAGTCTCTAAAGTATTTTCTAAAGGTTGATTTGTTTAAAACGGAATATTCATTTTCTAATATGATTTCCATTAATTACTTTTGAATCTGTTCTTCAGAAACATTGCAAATTAACTACAACCCAGGTCTAGTATATTTGAAATTAATAGGAAATAATTCAATTCTCTTGTATAAAATACATTGTCCCTATTGCTTTTTCTAGTTGTGAGTCTCCCATCCTCTCCCATCCTCAGAAGTTAGTCTATTTCTAATTCTCTAACATCCTTCCTTTAGCACAGGGACTTTGGATGACTCATTTATTTCCACTCACTCATTATACTCTCCCAACCCCATGATTATAGATACTTTCTGACAACTTCCAAATCTATGTCAGCAGGAGCTTCCCACCTGAGCTCTGGACTGGTGTCCCTAGTCCACTTAACTTGAGGCCCCCAACTCAACTGTTGACCTCTCCATCCATGCCTGCTTTTCTTGCAGTAGCACCATCTCCCTTTATAGAGCCCCTACAAGTTGCACATGCCAAAATCTTAGTCATTCCTGATTCCTCTCCTTTCTCATAGTCCACCTTCATTTCACCAGTGAATTTTGTAGAAATCAGCTTTAAAACACAGGATTGTCCATGTGACAGGACTCTCCATATGTTACAACGGCACTTCCACCACCCAGGTGAAAGGCACCATCATTTGCAGCCTAGTCTAAACTATCACTGATTAACAGGATTCTAATCACTTTGGCTCTCTTCCTCCCACCTGCAACTATTATCACAGAGTAGACAGAAAAAGCATTTTATTACATGACCCACTGTGTCCACTCAAATAGACCCTGGAGCCTTTGCATTACTATTACTACTTGGAAGACTCTTTCCAGAAGGGTATGGCTTAGTCCTTTGCTGCCTTCAAATGTCACCTTCATAATGAGGCCCCCCATGACCATCCTGTGTGATCCAGTAGTGTCACCTCTGCCAGGGCCCACATTCCTATTCTCCTTCAGCATTGTTTCTCTCAACACATGTTGACAAGTGACATATAAGATGTCATTTGTCCTCTGTCTCCTTTCATTAGAATGTAAGTATGTAAAGCAGCATGACAGATTCACTAGATGCTAAAGAAAACCAAAGCTCCACTTTGAAGTTAAATTAAAATATTATTTTCCTGTGTTAACACTTATGCATATTGGTCACTAATTACCTGTTTTAGAACCTCATCCAACAAGCTCATATTAGCTTCTTGAGCTTTTATTGTGTGGGAGAAGAATGCATAAGTTTTCTTGGACATTAGTTTATCCTCTGGAGGTCTTTTAACTCCCAAAATTAGACAAGCTTCGGAAATGTCCTCCTGAAGAATACCACCAGCTTTGACGTATTCCTGGAAATGCAATGTTGGTTAAAGATTATTCCTCTGACTTGTGGTAGTCATATTTTCTCTAATAAAAAGTAGAGCAAATAAAAGCACAACTTTTTGAAGCAGTAAAAACTTGTATGGATTAGAACTAATAGGACAGCAACTTTTAATACTTGAACTCTCCAGCTAAAGATAGATCTATTATGTTTAACTGTTATAACAAAAGACAATTAGAAAATTCAGCACATACTAATATTTAAGAACAATTTAGCCGGGTGTGTGAAAGTGACTTGGAAGCTGAAGTGGGAGGATGGCAAGTTCAAAATCAGCCTCAGCATCTTAACAAGACTGGTCTCAAAATAAAAACAAAAAAAAAGGGGGGCTGGGGATGTGTCTCAGTGGTCAAACACCCCTGGGTGCTTTTCTAAAAATTAAATTTGTTTATTTATTTATTGCAGTACTGGATATCAATCCCAGGCAGAGCCTCAGGCATGCTGGGCAAGTGCTTTTCCACTGAGTCACAATTCCCTGCCCATGATCATGCATTCCTAGGAAATAATCTGATATTTTGTACCTTTAATATGTTACAATGTGTAAAACATGCATTGCTTATATGTATGACACAAGTGGTTAGCCTGAATATAATCATAAGAAACAACCAAACTAGTTCTACCCAGAAGCAGAATATTCTACAAGTCAACTAGCCTGGACTCCTCCAGAAAATAGAAATGAAGGTGCTGTTATAGATCAAAAGAACTAAAGAGACATAGCCATGACATGCAATGACCCTCAATTAATCCTTGAATTAAACTAAAAGGTATTTGAAATGGGGAATCTGAACATCAACTATATGAGGTGTTCTCACGAAATTATTAATTTCTTAGTTATGAAAATTATATACTGGTTATGTAGCAAAATTATTTACTCCTTAGAGGTGCATGCTAAAGCATCATTCAGTACTTGCAAATGATTTAGGAAAGGAATATATATATATATATATATATATATATATATATATATATATATATATATATTTTTTTTTTTTTTTGCATATTCCTAAAATGAGAATAAGAATCTAACCCATATTATAATATTATTGTGGAATGTTTATGTCCAGCAGAATTCTGAACATAAAGGGCTTCTCAAAAGTGCCTGACAGGATACACTCTTGGGCTGGGAACACACTCTTGTGATAAAACTCTCCTCAAAGAAGCATTCCCTGGCTTCAAGGATGGTGTCTTAAACAACCTTGGGCTCTCTACTGCAAACTGGAGTTGCACGTGAAGGACAGAAAGAATGAAAACCATCAACACCTAAAAGCAGACCCTTTAACCTTTAGCTGGAGAAAGTATGGAGTAGAGTAAAAATTACATTTTTAAGCAAAAAGAAAAGGAATTAAAGTGACACTAGCACATTTTATTTTTCCTTGGATGCTTCTTATTTTTCATATACAGGTTCATCTCATTTGCACACATTTTAAAAATTGAAAACAGTCACCTTATCATGAATGGCCCTTCGATTGGAAGGCTGTATCAAGACCTTGTAGCCCAGACTGGTGATCCCTTTGATGTGCTTGGGAGCCAGAGGCGCTCTTCTCTCCCAGGCGTTGACATCCTCCCGTCTGAGGGCCATGACAGCTTTGTGGTGAAGGGCTCTGGAGAGGCTGACCCTTAGTGGGGTCAGGTTGCTTCTGTGTATTCGAAGCATCTTGAAACCTGCTGACTGTGAAGGCAACATGAGAAAGCAGAACAACAAAGGACACGAGGGCTTATGTGTCAGTTCTGGTCTCCTTAGAAATCTGCTGAAAAACACAGCCAACCCAAATGAGGATAAAATGTGACAAGAAGAGATGGGGACAAGAAGATAGACAAGAAGGGAGGGGCAACCTCCATGTGAAGTGTACCTTTACCTAAACAGACCCAAATTCCCAAACATCAAGGTACTTAATTCCAAAGTAAGTATAGAGCCACTTAGGTGGCACTGATCAGTAACCAAGTCAACATAGCTTTCTAAATATGTTTTACCAAACATGTACTCAACACAAAAGTTGAGTACTACCATGTAAAGCCAGGAAGATGACAGAAAGCAGCTCTTACAGAGTGGTCCAAATTTTGATGGCATAAAGCTTCAAATTCTGATAATGATATAAGGTTCTTGACAACTTAATGCCAATGTGCCTTCAGCTTCATCTCAGGCCATTTTCTGGACATGCAAAAAAAGTACTTGGTATGTTCTGCTAACTTGTGTCGGTCAGTGGACTGTTTTTACTGGTCAGAAATGAGATGCAAGAAGAACTAGAAAGTAAGCATTTTATAAGCTGCAATATCACATGATCATTTTCCTAGTTATTCCTTGTTACTGAATTTTACAAAAGTACCATCCTGAACAGGTTGTAAATGCAAAGAAAGCAACCAGCCAACCAAACCAGTTCCTCCACTATCAGGTTAGACTGTCACCCTGCTCCCATCCACTCCCACCTTGGGCTTCCTGCTTCACCCTCACTGTTCCCTCTTGTTGCCCTCAACATAATCCCCTCTCCTGGCTTTTCTCTCCATACCATGTTCTCCAGCCTTTGAATTTAAGCCCAGCCCACCTCACCTTTCCAACTGTCTCCCAGATGGCATAATTCCACTCACTGAAAAAAATATCCTATATTTGTGGGCTGGGGATGTGGCTCAAGTGGTATCACACTCGCCTGGCATGCGCGGGGCACTGGGTTCAATCCTCAGCACCACATAAAAATAAAATAAAGATGTTGTGTCCACCGAAAACTGAAAAATAAATATTTTAAAAAATATTATCTCTCTCTCTCTCTCTCTCCTCTCTCTCTCTCTCTTAAAACAAAACAAAACAAAAATACTCTAGAAGGGGGGAGAAAGTTTTTCCCACTGCTGGTGGGACTGTAAATTGGTTCAACCATTCTGGAAAGCAGTATGATTTTCCTCAGAAAACTTGAAATGGAACCACCATTTGACCCAGTAATCCTATTCCTTGGCATATACCCAAAGGACTTAAAATCAGTGTACTATAGTGACACAGCCACACCAATGTTTATAGCAGCTCAATTCACGATAGCTAAGCTACGGAATCAACCTTCAACAGATAATGGATAAAGAAAATGTGGTACATATACACAATGGAATATTACCGAGCCATAAAGACATATGAAATTATGGCATTTGCTGGTAATTGGTTGGAACTGGAAACTATCATGCTAAGTGAAATAAGCCAATAAAAAAATCAAAGGCCTAATGAAGTTCTCTTTGATAAGCTAACTCATAATAACCTGGGGGGTGGGGGGCGATAGAAGTTCACTAGGTTAGACAAAAGGGAATGAAGGGAATAGAGGGAGATTAGGAATAGGAAAGACAGCAGAAATTAATAGGACATAACTTTTCTGTGTTCATATATGAATATACACCCAGTGTAACTCCATATCGTGTACAACCACAAGAATGACAAGTTATACTCCATGTATGGATGATGTGTCAAAATACATTCTACTGTCATGTATAACTAAAAAGAACAAATAAAAAATTTAAAAACATCCTATACAGAGTAAATCTGCATCCTATACAGAGTAAATTTTATATAAGATTTTACACATAAATATTTAGATCTAGTAGTGTTTATTCTCTCTGTCCTCAAAGTGTTTCATATATTCTATAGTCAAATGTCATTGCAGATGGTGATTTGCTGGATCATTTAAAGTTTAAAACTGTTTTCTATGTAAGTGGCATATTCTCTAGAAATTCTATACCCATAATTTTACATCTTCTAGAAATGTCCTACCCATTATTGCCAGCACATAGCAAAACTTTTATGAAATATTTTTCCAATACATCAGATTTCAATCTCTAAAAGCACCCATATAGATGAGGAAATTCTGACCAAACACTTAAGCATAGAAGTGCATTCCCTGGGGACAAACAACTGCCTGCTCCCTATAATGGTCAATTTATAGAATATTTCACAACAAAATCAGAGAATAGAACAAAACAGTAAGGAATTCAGCTGAAAAGGCTTTAGAAAGAAAAGGTCAAAATCAGAGAAAGCTGCTGACAGAAAGAAAAATTGTTAATGATTAGTTCAGGCTTCAACTGGACTAAAATGGAGATACCAAAATAGATGATTAACATTTTAACTAAAAACTGTTGCAGACTACATCTAATTTTTGGTTTATTCAGATGGTTTTGTTCTTAGGAGAGATGATTATAATCAAACCCAAGCCCATAATATATAGTGTCCCCCAAGTTAAAGGAGAACCTGCTATGTCTCATGGAACCTGAATGCCTTTGTTCCCAAATAAAACCAATTCCAAAGACTGTGAATCTTTTAAACACACACACACACACACACACACACACACACACACACACCTTCCCAGCAGGGGCTGTATTTCCTGAACCGACACTGTATCTTCTATTCTGAGTAGCAATTCTTGGCCCTAAATTGACCCCTCCCCCAACACACACACACACACACACACACAGCCCAACCTTGATTTATAACCAGAGCCACACCTCATTCTCTTGACAGCCCCTCCTCCTCCCTTGTCTGGGGTCAGGTTGGAGGCAGCAGGAAGCAGACCACACAGAGAGACAGACACATACATACAATGCATGCGTATTTGCAAAGTGACACTTTCTAAGGGAACTAAAAAAAGAAGTGGCAGGGACTGAGCTTCTGGGATTCATTTAGGAAAGTACTTTCACTTTCATTTTTTGTAAGGAATTGTAAAATGATCATTTCTGTGACTTTCACTTCTAAAACAAATATAGCAATAGTTTGCATTAATTATGCTAGGCACTTTAAATACTGTCACATTTCCCTCTTGCAAATATCTTACTAGGTAGATACTATTATTAACCCCATTTTATAGATGAAGAAACTGAAAAGGAGCCCTTCTGGATCAGTTGCTTTTCAACAGAAGCAGGATTTCTAGGTTAGTGCTTAACACCTGGGACACTCTCTTTGCTGAAGCTTACAGAAGCTTACCATGTAGATCTAACATGCTGTTACTCTGGCCAGCTCTTGCTACAAAAAGGGGGAAAAAATCAGATCCATATGGTATGGACTTCACAGTCACAGTAAATTATCAGTTCTCCTCCCAAGCACACAGTGCTTTTCTTGATATCTTTTTTCTCTGTTGCATTGAAATTCTTCCCTGAGTCTCTGCCAAGGTAAATTCCAGATTTCTGGGTGCTTAGAAAAAAAGTTTGATTGTAGCAGGTATTACTGTTCATGATCTCTTGAACCTTGAAACTTGGTCTCAGCAATGAACTTTCCAGTTACCTATGGTCATCAAGAAGTGGGTAACAGGTAACAGTGAGAATGTTGGAGTTGCACAGCAGGTGCCTAGCATTTTGTGGAAATACCCTTGTGGGCTATTCTGGCTTTTCCTGTCCTGGATTTTGTGGTCTTTTTCAAGAATATCAGGAGAGGCTGGGGATGTGGCTCAAGTGGTCGTGCACTTGCCTGGCATGTGTGCGGCCCAGGTTCGATCCTCAGCACCACATACAAAGATGTTGTGTCTGCCGAAAACTAAAAAATAAAAATTATCTCTGTCTCTATCTCTCTCTCTCTAAAAAAAAAAAAAAAAAAAGAATATCAGGAAATAAGTTCCGCAGAGCTCTCAAGGAAGCAAGTCAGAAAGATTCTGGCTCACCCACTGGCTCTAGTGAGGTTAACTGATAGTGCTAAGTCCTGATTTCAATGTACAGTATGTGTAAGGAGGATGTAGAAAAGTAAGAGGGAGATAGTGTCACATATACAGGAGTAGGGGGAAATCCCTTTTCCTGCAAACTCTGTCTTCCCTTACACAGAAAGGTCAAATTTTCAAATATAAAAATAAATGTAAAATATTTCTTCTCTATGTTTTTGTAAAAAGGGAACAGCACTGTTTCTTATCTAGTACATTTCTTATCAAGAACTGATCAAGAGTTTGAGATCTCTCTAAAGTCATAGGAATATTACAGAAAACTACACAGAGACACATGCTGAGTCAGGAAGACAATCAGAGGGCAGGTTCTCCCAGCAGGAACAGGACAACTTTCTATATTACACCATCGTAGTGGTCTTTACAATTCTCAAGGAGGAAAGGCTTAGGGGTTCCATTTAATACAGGGCTTAACCTAACTTTGCACATGTGGGAATGGGAAGACACGCTTAAATGTTCTTAGTTCTTAGTATTTTCTTTTCAAGAAAAACAGGGAGGAAAATAATCATTACTGATATAGATACATGACAGATAGGAGAGATAGAGGTTAGTACTCCATATATAGCCCATCATTTGCTTTCAGTGACCATTCCCTATTTCCTGGTCCTTGAGTGCATCATTATCCCAAATCATATGGAGAAATCAAAGCACAATATGTAAAGTGCATTTATAAAAGTGCATATCTCAAGAAAAAACACTCTCAGAACAAAGATGGCTAACAAGGTCCTTTCAGATAATGAGCAGGTTGGGGCTTTTTGTTTGTTTGTTTTGTTTTGTTTTGCAGTACTGGAGATGGAACCCAGGGGCATTTTATCACTGAGCTATATCCTGAGCCCGTTTTATTTATTTATTTATTTTTGAGATAGCAATTTGCTAAGTTTCTGAGGTTGGCCTCAAATTTGTGATACTTCTGCCTCAGCCTCCTGAATCTCTGGGGTTACCATCCCTGGCCAGCCTATTGTTTTTAACAATCCATATAATAATATAAAGTAGGTAGTCACTGATTTTTAGCATGCATATTATCTAATATTTAAATAAAATATAATAAAACCCAGAACATTTTCTTGACAGTGTTAACAAAATGGAATATTTTGCCCATTGATCACAGAAGGCATGCTTTTAGCTTTCCATGACACACAACATATTCTGGAGGTCCTTATAGGGTATGTAGTAATGATGATAAGTACTTGGTAAAGACATAAAGCAGCAGCAATCCAGGCCCTGCCCATTTTCATAGGGTCTTACAGGAACAGGATGGGGTCATTTTATTTATTTAAATAATGCAAACCAAAACCTGCTGATGAATTATCAACTAATAAATATAACTAAACCTTAAATATTTGAGTGCAAACATACCCAAAAGAAGACAATCTATATTTTTCTCAAGGCCATCAGCTGCTCAGTGTCAGACCAAGACAAAAGACCCATGACTCTCTTGAACTTTCACCCACAAAGTTAGCTTCACTGAGATGGAATACAAAGTTAGCTCTGAATTAGAATCAATCCAAACTACTTACTTACTGCTTGCTCCTCCATCTCTTTGCTAAACTGAAAGTGGGTAGGAATTGATATTTATTCACTTCTGTATTCCCAGTAACTAGCATATAGGAAAACATCAAACATTTTTAGAAAGGATGAATAAATATATTGCACAATAGATAATGCACTATATATTTCCAAAAACTAGGAAAAAAAAGGAGTTTGAATGCTTTCATCATAAAGAAATGATAAATGTTTAAGAAGGTAAATATGATTAAACTGACTTAAACATTGTATAATGTATTCATATAATGAAATAACACATAATATCCCATTAATATATGTTCTATGACCTTATGTATTTAAAAAATAGAAGATCTTATATAATTAAAAAACAAATAATGAAATTTAAATAAATATCATGAAGACCTAGGCAAGAGAGAAAATAAAATAAACACATGAAATTGGGATCCACAACCTCCTTCTCCTACCAAAAACAACAACAACAACAAAAAGTCTATTCTTTGCCATAATTTCAGAGACCAATTAATGTTATGAAATGTTCTATGGTAGGGAGGGAAAGTCCAGTTCTAGGAGTTCAGACATGTAACTAGCCTTCCGTGCCTCCTCTTGACTTCAGTCTCCTCATCTAGACTAGAACACAATACTTGAGTCCCTTTCCTCTTTAACATTCTTATTCCATTAAGCTTAGTATTAATCCAGCACTGTGGATTGCAAACATTAGAATTATGAATACATTAGAATTTTAGAACATAAATAAGTTTTCTGTCTATGAACATACACTAAATAGGAAAACAAAACACTAAAAACATTATGGAAGAAAAATAAACATTTGCCTAAGCTACCTGCACTGTCTACAGCAGCCAGGAGCCAGAGCTTATAACAGGAACTATATATAGCAAAGGAATACCAATGACCTGGTTCTGCAGTACCTAAACTTGTTCTGGGAACTCATTCCAAAACAACCTGTCTGAGCCTCATCTGCAAATGGAAGTCACATTAACATCTTCCTCTCAAGGCTGCTGTTAAGTTTAATTGAGCTAATGTGCATAAAGTGCTGAGCATGATTTTACATGCCATAAACACTCAGAAAAAAAAAGTTAAGAAAACCAAAAGACTCCAAGCCTGCTCATTGCTCAAATGTGAGCACAACCTCACCACCAGCAGAAGATATTATCTTCTATTCTGTCACCTGTGGTAATTAATTTACTCACTCCCTTAAGTTTTTCTGGGAGAGGGGGGTAAAAAAAAAAAAAAAAGAAAAAAACTGGAGCCGGATAAGCCTACTCTTCAACTTCACCGTTTAGGCTTGGATATTCAAGATAAATTAATTACCTTGTAATATTGTATTTAATAAAATGTTTAAGACCCATGTTTTCATATTATAGCATCTTTGAAACAGGAATGCATCTTACAATTGATGGCATTTTAGATTCAATGAATACAGTAAACTATGCTCTTGGTTAGTTCCCATGCCAAATATATAGTGTTTCTACGATGATATGAATCACAAAGAATTTTTTGGTGGCTTCACCTAGGAAATTTACTACTGTTTGTGATGTTGTGTCTATGAGACATTTAATAAAAGAAATTTTGGAAAAATAAAATCTTTTTGTTAAGTGAAAATGAAAGTGCAAAATTACTTTGATAATCCTGACCCAAGGTCTTTTAACACTTAAAAGACACCAGAAAAATAATTCAATTGCAAATAGATCAAATTAAAGTGAAGTTCTGAATAACAAATGAGATTGATAAGAAATTTGACTTTCTAGAAGAGTGGGGAAATAACCCCATAAATCACCTGCAACCTTTGTCCTCCTAAGTCACTTTGCAAAATGGTAAGCACATTATATAGCCCTAAACTCATTTAGTCCTGAAATCATTTAAGATGGCTCATCTTCATGGTAAAAAGGAGGATGTTAGTGTAGGTAACAAAATAGGCAAGCCAAGACATAATTAAGTGCCACCCGTGTTTTATATTCTTTTTCTTTGTTAACAAAGTACTGAAAAGTCACTGCTCAAATCAATATCTTACATGGGGCATCATCACAGATACATCTTCCTTACATTCCAGTAACTAATGACCCACAATATCAAAAAATGTTGCTCCTTGCTGGACTCAAGGGCTCATGCTGGTAGTCCCAGGTACTCTGAAGTATAAGGCCGGGAAATCCTAAATTCGAGACCAGCCTAAGTGTGAGATTCTCCCTCAAAGTAAAAAAATAAAAAGGTCTGGGGATGTAGCTCAGTAGTAGAGCGCCCCTGGGCTCAATCCCCAGTATCCTAACAAAAAGAGGGGAAAATAAAGTTAATCTTTGTTCTGTTACTGAACTAATTATTTTTTTTCCTTCTCTCCTTCCCCACCCCTCTTCTTTCTCTCCCTCCTCCTTTCCCTCCCTCCCTATTCCCTACCCCGCTCCCCGCCCCCCGATATCAATGCCTGAAAAGCACATCTTTGTTTTTGAGAAGTAGTCAGAACCATCAACCCAATCAAGGTCCTTCTGGATCCCCCTCCCTGGGCAAGTGATCACACACTGGCCTGCACAGTGTCTCAAGCGCTCAGGAGACCTAACATCCAGAGTGCCTCGCTGTCTCACCCCCGTTATCTTTCCGAGTGTACGGAAAAGGCGCTGAAGCACAGCGGGATCTCGATCTTGGAGAGAAAGACCAGCCCTAGTCCTAGGGCGTGAGAAGTTTACCATCCCAGTGGGTAAACAGACTGCAGTGGTGACGACTCCGCGATCATCCCCAAAGAAGCGTTCAGTGCAAGAATTAACAAGGTGTTCGTTTCGCAACTCCAACATCAACCAATTCTTTATTCCCCAGCAATATAGCACCATCACCACTCGCCAAAAAAAAAAAAAAGGAAAGGAAAAAAAAATTGCCAATCGCCCTCCTTCCCCCTTCCTATTCAGAAATTCCGGAGCCGCGGGTACGGACCTCCCTCCGGAGCAGGGAAATGGTCCAAGACAAGACTTGGCAGGGAGTCCTCAAATGCTCGCTACCCTCTCTCCCTGGCTTCCCCCGGCCACCGCTGAGCCCTCCCGGTCGCCCCTGGGCTCTGGGACCAGGAGGTCCACTCCCGGGAGACTCGGGCGAACAGCTGGAATCGCTCCGGCGATCTCAGAACGCATCTGGCCGACTGACCTCCCTCTCCCCACACACGCACCCACCCATCAGCTTATCCTTCCCCTGGTCCCCTCCTCACCCCGTCCGCTCTGAGACGCCAAACGGCCCCCTGCAGTCCTGAGCTCCCAAGTCGGGACAGAATCGGCAGCGAGTTCCCAGCAGAAATTGGGCTGGGGGGCTGGGAAGGAGGAGGTGTTTGCTTAACTTTGGAAGATGTCACGCCTCTTCTTCCTGCAGCCAATCAGAGGCCGCCCTGAGGGAACAACCTCCTCCTCCACCAATCGGCGACGCTGCCAGGTACTAGGTCATGCCCTGCCCCTACTCCTCCCCAAAAGTCCATCTCTGACCTGCGTGCGTAGCTGCGGGGATCTCATCATCCCTGGGCGGTCACTGACCAGGTTTGTAACTGCAGGTGAAAGGAGGCAAGCGGGCACAGAGAAAGACGAAAATAGTCTGGCATTACCCGCGAAATAGATGTGCACAGCTCCTGGAAAAAAGTGGCCCGCGAGTATGCCTTCCGATATACACTCTTCAAGGATTTTTCCGGCCTGCAACAAGTCTATAAAGCCAGATGACAGTTCTTAGAACAATTTTGGAATCCAAATAGCAGAAATTCAATGTGGTGAACCCCCACTCAATCAATAGAAATTTGTGTATGGAAAAGTTCAGTGCTCTTGAAAATCCTGGCAGTTTTTTTAAAAAAATATTATTATTATTATTATTATTATTATTATTATTATTATTATTAATGTATTTCCCAAGACTAGTCCCAGCACTAGGGAAGAACCACCTGAAGTCCAGTCGTTGTTCCCCAAGGAGAAAATAGCCATCATCCCTCCTGTTTTTACAACTTTCTCCACTACTTACTCTTTTCTATGCCTGCAACAGATGAGTTTAGCTACATCTATCCTAGAACATTCTTGGAACGCCACTGCTATCTTCCATTCGCTTCTCTTCCAAAGACATGAAGTTGGAATGTTCCTCTGTGTCTTTAGTTTCACACATCCAAAATCAATTCCTAATCCATCTCCTGAAGTCTTCCCACTTTTATGGGTACAGGGAGAATTCAGGCAGGTCCTAAGCACACAGAGTTACCAGGTAGGGTGGCATTACATGCCCACCCTCAAATGCCTCCTGTTGACCCTCCACTGCCTGTGAATCATTGCACCTAATAAAGTTATTGTCAAGTCCCTTTTTGGTTACTTTGTATCTCAGAAATTTTCTTTAAAAAATATGTGCATTAGAAATACCATTATTTAAAATAGGAGATTTTGAGTATTTTCCTCAGTGATATTTGCTATAGCAGGTGATGGTCTCAGAAATTTCTTTGCAATAAAAAGAAACAATGGAGGAGAGGAAAAAAAAAAAACAGACCTTGAATATATCCCAACTCAGCTTGTATTGTCAACTCCTCAAACTCCAATATGAAACGCCTGCTACCCAAATGGGGGCTGACTCAATGTTCCTGGAATTGGAAGGTGGATTCTAGGCCATTCAAACTGATTTTCTTTCTCTTTAACCACTTTGCTTTCCCTCTTCTTTTATTGTTCCTTGCTTTTCTTCTCTCTGAGAGGTCTTTAAGGTACTTAAGCATGGAGTAAATGGAACCTAGACTTAATCCCCTCCTTTGTAACTCACTAGTACGTCACTTAGCCTCTTTATACCTAATTTTCCTTTATCAGTACAGTGCAGAACGTCACAGGGTTGTCAAGATTAAATGATGCATGATCTCAGTATATGAAAGCTAATGTTGAGGCATTTGTTTAGTCAACTTTTCGTCACTGTAATACATACCTGAGAAAAACAATTGAGAGAAAGAAAGATTTATTTTGGCTCACAGTTTTGGGGGAGTCAGTTCATGGCTGACTGGTTCCTTTGCTTTGGGCCTCACTTAAAGCAGGGCACAGGAAGGAAAGCTGCTCAGCTTGTGGCAACTAGGAAGCAGAGTGAGAGGAGGAAGTGTCCAAGGACAAGATACACTATTCCAGGGCATGCCCCCAATGAACAACTTTCTTCATCCTTGCTCCCCAACCCACAGTTTCCAACACCTCCAAGTAGTCCATTCAGCTATCAATGGATTAATGAGGTTGGAGCCCTCATGATCCAATCACTTCCCAAAAGCCCCATCTCTGAACATTGCTGCACTGTGGAATAAGTCTTTGTCACATGACTCTGGAGGAGCACTTCATATCCAAACCATAGCAGGTTTACTATTTTTTCCTGTCTCATCCTCCCCTCACCTTTCATTGCACTCACAACCAGTCTCGTTCTTAAACAACTTTGTCATAAAGAGAAAAGACATGGGCATTCAGGAGAAGGAGAAAATAGACAGGAATTTGATATTTCCCAGATATTTCTATTTATTTCTCAAAACTTTTTACTTATATGAACAGCAATTTTTATAACATCATCTCTTGTCCACCCACAATAGAAAATTATTCCACTTTTTATAAAAAGAACTTTCTCTGGACTACAGGTGCAAATTCAAGTGATTTTTTTTTTCAAAAATAAGTAGTTTAGGTAAGAGTAGTTTTAAAAGACAACTACTATTGTTGTTCTAATTCCCAAGTTCTGTTGGGAATGAAGCCTACTTTTTCACCCTTCAAGGAATTTGAAACTCCATTTAGGTGAGGCAAGAGCAGAACTACCCTCTGTTAAATCTAAATTAGAACTCCTGTACCAAGGTTGTGGGTGGAGATACTGATATCCTGAGAGATTATTCTACCACCACCACCACTTCACTACCCAATACCCTCAGATGAAAGAAGCATTGAATATTAATTTCTAGTTCACTTTCTCTGCCTGGAAAATAATGCAAGAAATTTCCAACTTCATTTGAATTTCCAGAGTCAGTTTTTATTGTCTCCAGGACTCATGGCTTCAGTTGAAAGTTCCCTGTGCAGGGCAATTCACTCAACGAACTTTCTTCTCATCAACATTTGCTTAGTAACTGCTTTTATAAGTCTACAAGGACATATAAATTTTCAGCTATATGTCACTATACTTAATGGGTTACATAAAAATTGTATGTTGTAGTAATATAAGCCAATTTTTGTTATAATCTCAGTAACACATGATGGGTCTAATGTCTCAAATCAAGGAAGAAAACCAGTGTTCCTCCCCCAGTCTATCCTGATAGAAGAGAAGATGTGTAAACTTATGTAAACCTTTGGAGATTAAGTTGGGAATAGCTAAACTGCCAGGTTGAAGAGATAAGAAGAGTCAGAACTTTGTCCTTCTAGTCCAAGTCTGGATAAACTAAATGAAATCAACTCCTTACAATAGTTTATCTCTCTGTTAATATGGGAAGGAAACACAAATTTAATTTTTTTTTCAGTGTAAGAAGTAGCAGCTTAGAAAAATAATCACAACTAAGGCAAGTTCACAACAGAAAGCTTAAGGTAGAGAGAGTATTCAAGACATTAAACTGACTCTTATGATACTTGCAGTTTGTATAGACCCTCAGAAACAGATGTAATTGAATTTGAAAGGGACAGAAAAAGAACAGCAAGTGAGGATGCTCCTGCCAGATGGTATTATGTTGGCACTCCTAGGGGCAGACATAGGCATTTCTGTGCTATAATTTCCACATATATCTAATAAGGAAAGGTCTTATGTTTATAATACATATAGAAATTTTGTATATCAATCATAAAAAATGAGATAGGCAAAAGGTTTGAATTGACCATTCTCTAAAGAAGAAATACAAGTGGTCATTAAGAGCATGAAAATGAATGTAATATTATTATCCATTAGAGAATTACAAATCAAAACTACAATGAGCTATCATCTCATACTCACTAGAATGTAATAATAATAATAATAATAATAATAATAATAATAATACAACTATTGGTGAAGATGTTGAGAATTTGGAACCCTCATGTGTTGCAGGTAGAAAAGTAAAATGCATTCCCTTTGGAAAAAAAGACTAGCATTTCTCAGATGCTTAAACAGAGTTATCATACAATTCAATAGTTCAGCTCCTAGCTAGGTACCCAAGAGAAATGCAAAATGCATGTTTGCCGAAAAAGAAACATTGCACACAAACATTCATAACAAAATATCCTAATATCCAAAATATCCTAATTCCAAAAGTGGAAACAATGTCAATGTCTGTCAACTTATAAGCAGACAAACAAAATGTTCATAAAAATGGAATATTTTTCAACAATATAAATAAATGAAGTACCGACACATGCTACAACATGAATGAACATGAAAATATTATACTAAGTGAAATGAAGCATACAAAAAACCTATGATATATTGTATTGTTTAACTTATATAAAATGCACAGAATGAGTGAATTTATACATAAAAAAAGTAGATCAAAATTTGTCAAATGATGGGAGAAATGAGGGAATTGACAGATGATAGCAAAGAGGTACAGAGTTTCTTTTTGTGTTGATGAAAATATTCTAAAGTTTGTTGTGGTGATGGTTAGACAAATCTGTGAATGTAATAGAAGCTGTTAAAATGTATACTTTAAATAAACTCATTGCATAGTGTATGAATGAGGTCTCATTTTAGCTGTTTAAAAACCAACAGACAAAACAATGATCCAGATTTAATTCCAGCAATAGCTAGAATTTGGCATGTACTGCCTGAGTGTGCAGCAGAATCTCTAAGAGGTAGATCTAGGGGAGGTCACAAGGATTTACATTTCTAACATTTTCCCCAGGTAAAGCTATGCTACCAGTAAGGCCTCATAGCCTGAGAATCAATAATCTAAAAGTGTAGCAGAATGACTGAATTAATAAAGTGTAACAAAATTGCTGGAAAACTTTATGGGAGCTGGCAGGTCAGCACACCACATCTATAATCCCACACTTATAATACTGTGGAGGCTAAGGCAGGAGGATTGCAAGTTTAAGGCAAGCCTCGGCAACTTAGTGAGACCTTATCTCAAAATATAAAGGACTGAGTGTAGCTCAGTACTAAAGGATTCCTGGGTTAAATTTGCAATACCACACATACACACACACACACAGAGAGAGAGAGAGAGAGAGAGAGAGAGAGAGAAATCAAGGAAGCAAGCAAGTTTCCTGAGGCCCAGTGTAGGTACTGGTAAGATATTAAGTTTAGACCAGTCATGACAGTGTGCTTTTTTCCAGCCATATTAGCATCTCAGGTGTAAGAAGAACAGAATAGGTGAAGATGAAAGTCAACTTGGGTTGTTTATATCAACTAAAAGCAGAACACAAGTGTA